TATTATCGACACGTACAGGACAGTACTATAATTTAAAAGTTAAAATTAAATGTATAAGTTTATTTTTTGATGAATTTTAACTGAACAAGTTAAAAAAAAATTAATGTTACAAAATAACTAATTGAATAATTTCTTTTAAAGAAATAATATTAATACAATTTAGTTATTTTGTTATTAAAGTTAATTCTAAAAAGTAAAATAAAAATATCACTATTAGAATACGAAATACTTTTTTAAGTGTACTGAGGGAATTATAAATGGTTTTCCAAATTTTGTAAATTTTAAAATCATGTTTTACGTTTTAGTGACTAATCTACAACCCGATACCCATTTAAGATAAAGAGGTATCCATTTTACTTTACGGACGCGATTCGCCCAGATAAATTATGCAATTAGATCGATAAGTATTAGAAAATTAGTCATATTTTCCATTGTGTAGTTTCTAGTTTTTAGGTATGTATAGTTTGTAACAAATCATCTATGTTATTAGGTTATTAGACAAAGGAAGTTGATTTTCGATTTAAAAATTGGTATGTTAAAAATAAATACAAATCTAACGTGGTTATTTCCTGGAAAATTTAAAATCAATTTTATAAATAACATAAAATTTGTCAACAAATTCATACATACATTTAATAATACAAATGAACATTTTGGGAAGTATGTTTAATTTCCCACCGCTTATTAATATATGTATATCTATAACGTATGATAAATAGGTGTGATCCAGTATCCCTTTAAAAATAATTTTAAAAAGCTAACTATTAACTGCACTTGAGTTATTATTAGATAATAAGTTATTATTAACTTGAGTTAGTCTAGTTTAGTTTTTAACTAACTAGTTTAAATGTTAGTTTATTTTTCCAGCTTTTTTATATACCTACTAATAAAATTGACTTACTATGTTGATGCCCTGTCGGGTTCAATACAATTTAAATACCTTTATAAAAAAAAGATATGCGTTAAAAAATTTAAAAATTCTCTACAAACCATAACATTTAAGGGGATTGGTAATGATGATGTGTAATCAGTTTAGACCTGAAGATTAGATAAAAGAAATAAATTGTGTTTCACAGATTTAAATTTCGAAAACAAACTATGAGGTTTTAGGTTTCTCACTAGGATACATTGATAATATAAATTTAATTATTTTACAGGAAGTTATAAACAAATTTGATTGTATTTTGATGTGACTATTTTTAAAAAAGCATATTGCTTTTTAGTTTTTACTTATGACATAGAAAATTAAAATTTTAAAAAGAATTCCAACGAATTCTAGGAAATAGTCTTAATAATCATTACGCGTTTCAAAATTGAAATTCACCAAACGTATAATAAGTATCTACAGTTTTGTCTAACTATTCGGCCTGACTTCATATTCGTCGGTTAAAATGGCCTTACTTCTTAAATAGTAATCGGTAATAGATTAATGGAAAAGTCTTACAGTTAAGATGATCATTAAAATGTGAACAAAATAACAAAATTTTAATTTTACAAAATCGGAGAACATTTTGAAAGTCGTTCCCAATCCTCTTTTAAAGATTTCTACACGTAAATATAAAAACCGTATTAAAAAATTATTGTTATAGATGTTGTATCACATACCTTTGCCGGTTTACCCCAGTGTTTATAATATAATGTAGGTAATCGTTATTTATTATACTTCTATTTATATTCAACATGTTTTGTACATTAATTATTATTAAAAGTAGGTACCTAAACTTTTTTTTTTTATTTAATCGTAGAGTATGCTATGTAGGTATATAATTTTATAAATTATTAACTTTGTCAACTAGGTACCTATATACATTTTGAAATATTATCAACATTTAGTCATCGTTAAGTCGCAAGTAAATTGTTTTTTTTTTTTTTTTATGTATTTTTTTTTATTCTTTTTGGATTTTTTCCCTCGTATAATTTTTTTTTTACAAACCGTTAAAATATGATTAAATAATAAAGTACGCATTAGGCGTTAGTTTTTTGTAATATAGTTTAATGTTTTTTTTTTTTCTGTATTTAGATATTTGAATTTGTATAATATTATATTATCTGATTGACGATTTTGTATATTTAAAAATAATAGTATTATTTTACACGAATATAAACACAAGATACATAAAACATAGATTTTCAAAATTTACTAAGGGTGCCACCAATGAGCGATTGTTTCTATTCTGCTTTCCTTTTCTGCCTTCCTCTCCCTTACCTTATCATATTTTCCTATTATTATACCTAATTACCTAATTACAGATTTAAATACATACTATATTTATATACGTTTTATAATGATAATAAAAACAAAATTTCAAAAATTGTAAAATTGTTCTTTATTCCCAAATTATACGAGAAATAAATTAGAAAAATCAGTTTAGTAATCTGATACTGTAATTTTACTGCATTTCACGATTCACATTATTAATGTCGTAATACCATTTAATGTTTATTCCAGAATATCTGTATTTCTTTTGCCTTTTCATTAAACTAAGTATAGTCAACCACCGAAGACCTCCGAGTGAAATGTTGAATAGATGATACAATTATTATTTTACACTTTAAGAGTCAACTCAAAATATTAATATGTTACAAGTTGCAAACGAATGAGGTCAGGTAAAGTTTAAATTGAAATTTTGTTAATTTCGATTGAAACAGAAAATTGGTGTTCGTCTTATATAAAACTAGTATTTTTCTATTTATAAATAAAACGACCGAAACTTTATCCGAATAGAAATGTAGAACTCGATTCCTCCGGAAGAAATCAAAAGTCGGAAAGGTAAGTTCATACATTATATATTTAAAAGCCTGCAGATTAAAAACGATTTTAGATTTCTAATATGTTTATTATGTATTGTATATTTATTTTATATTGAAATATTTAGAATATTATAAGCTACAGTATATTATATAGTTTTATTTTATTAACAAAATAATGAGACCATGATTGTTTGATTTTGATTATAACATCGGTGTAAAATAATGTGTACTTGCCGTGTTCCATAATTTATAAAATGCGTATAACAAACATTTAAATCGAACGAAAAATCGTAACTTTTGATCGATTATTTTAAAACGACATTACCAAATACAATTGCGCCCACTAATGTCATTTGATAAGAACAGCAATAATAATAAAAATTCAGACGCTTACACGCTTAAAAATAATAATAAAAATAACAATAAACAATAATTTGTGACAAAATAACAATACAATTTTTTCTTTTTTTCTTCAACAAGACCAACACTAATGTTATATGTCCATTATTGGGCCAAACTTTCGAGTATTACGTGGTTACAACATTTTTATTAAACGTAAATTGAAAAAAAAAATCTAAAATTCAAATAGGTAGAGATATAAATAATCGAGGAAGAACCAAAATATTTTGAAAATTTTATTTCATTTAGAAAACTACCAACATAAGTATTTAATGAAAATTAAAGATCCATAATATTTTTACGAATATATCTATATTGAATTTCAACAAAAAATCCAAAGTAATGAGATAATAATCGTTGACGAGTCGTTGTGTGAACTGTGAAGATATATTCCTCGTTGTTTTTTCTTTAGTTTTTCCATTTTATTAGGATGAGTACAATGAATATCGAAAAAAAATTACGCCATCAGCACACTAACTAGATCGGAAATTAAATGCTACATACAAGAAAGCTCTAATGGAATTTAGTTCGGATTGGACCAAGTATTCTAATCGAAAACTTGTTCAGGCAGGGAAAAAACACGCTGTATCATAATAGTAAAACCAATGCATCCCTCGTTTCGTTCAGATAATCTAAAATAACGGCAGTGGTTATTTTACTACTACCATTACAACTATTACTAATTTTAATCATAATGAAGCCCTTCTGGCAAGTGGCACGTGCAGCTGCGACGAAAACGGCCTCTGTTATGGTTTTATGTCGAGTGGGTTTTTCATACGATAAAATATTGTAATATATAATATAAAATTATTATCAATTAAATCAAGGATAAATAAATACTATTTTTAATTTTTTAATTTTTTTTTCAATTATTATGAATGTGATGTATAACTAAGGGGTCGTTGTGTGGGGTCGTGGAGTTCCCCCCTCCATGTCACTATATCGTTACAATGTTAAAAAAAAATTGTATAACATTATAATAGAGGCGAATTTTACGACCGCGTATACCTATCGTCAGCAACCTCGTGAATTTCAATTAATTTTACAGGAGACGCGAAAAACTGTGGCAAGTTTAAAAACGTACTGAAAAAGTCGACTCATTTTGCCTCACGAGTAATATAATTTGACTAGGATCCGACGATATTATAATCACTAGAGCTGAGAACTTTGGACATTTAAAATCCACCGAAAACACATTAAAAACGCCAAAAGAGCTCCAAAAAAAAAAAAATTTAAAAAGCAAAAATAACAGAGAACCCAGAAGGGTTTAAAATTTACACCCCCAACCACCTAACCATTAAATGCAATTATCTAACACATTTTTTGTTGTTCTTTTTCTTTTTAAGTGCATTTTCCTGGCTGTTTTTCGCCTTTTTTTTATGGATTTTAAATGCATTAAGTCCCGAGCCCTAAATTAATAAAGTTTATAATGTACCTATGTACCGAAATATATTTATTTTTTTTTTTCAAACACTACACGGGTGCGCAATAATATTATTATACCGACTGATATTTCCCGTGTATCGTTTCGTAGTGCGTGTGTGCGACGTACGGTTTAAATTATTGTTGACACCCACCTTTGGTGTTGTGGACCATGGCGAAAACGAGCATTGACCAAAAGTAGTACGTGGACGACACTGCTGTCATGACGGTGGCGGCGACGAGACTGCGGTTGAGACTGTAATAATATTATACGTACGCACACGGCTGCGGCCACACGCGGTCCGTCCGCGGAAAACCCGCTCTTTTGACGGAGGCGGCCGCTCGGGCAGTCAGGCGGCGTCGCGACCGTCGCCGTCCCGCGACCGAGGCCGAACGCGACGAGGGCCGTCGTCATAATATTGTAGTCACGTGCGATCGAAAATCTTCTCGTGCCGTCCCGTTCCGGCCGAACCGCGTCTTCGGTCCCGGGGAGCAACGGCGACTCCGGCCGTTATTGTCGGCATAATTTTCGTAATTATTTTCCGTCCCGCGTCGTTTGTATTTCGCCCATTGTTTTTCGGCCTGTGCGTTTAAAAACAATAATAATGCGACGTATATTCCGTGTGCGCCGTGTTGCACTGAAGACTGAAATATCTTGTACGACGGCGTTGGTTCGCCGGAAAAATAACGGTACTCGAGTCGTCCAGAACGCCGTATTCGAATCAAGCCGTTTAGCAAAGTTATATGCGCAATATGCATAGCCATGTAGAAGTCGGTGGATTCGGTGCACAAACAGGAACTCAAGTATGACTTATTTACCATACTATCAATAGACAGTTTCGGGTAAAACGATAAATGCTATATGCATCATACGGTGCAACAATAATGCAAGTCCGTCTACGAGATGCGGAAAAAATAGTGTTGTTTGGTTCAGACAACAAGTAGACAAGACCCGTTTTATAGATGGTGTTTTCTTTCTTCGAAATAATTTCGAAAAGTGGTGTCGTCGCACTGAGGACTGAGCCCTTCAATTATGCCAACATGTCGTGTAGCAAATTTCAACATTTAACTTGCTTCTGTGGGACCAAAGCTATAGATGTAGGTTGTTCCGGATAGTATATAATCGGGGTTGTGAAGTTCAACGATAATATAAACCATATGCAATAATTTATGTTAAATATCAAAACATTTAAAGCCGCTATTAAGTTCTAAACATGTACTCATATAAGAGTATATTATCTCGATCAAATGAATAAACAAACATATAAAATGCGAAATTAAACGCTTGTATAAAAAATGGACTGCATTTTACACATTATACATTAGACTTTTATTTTTACCGCAACATAAGAAGTTTTTTTTTAAACGTTTTTCAGATTTTTGAAATTAGAATACGTTTATATGAAGGAAACGAAAGTTCTACGTTAGCAGAGGTTACTAGAGCAAATCTAAAGTACTTAGGTGGCTGTATCATATCACTGCATGATTTCAGATTTTCTGATAGTTTCATACTTTTAGAAACTAAGGGCCATTCTCACCAATATAATAAACGAAGTTTATCTGATTTTAAAACTCCGCTTATCAAATAAACGTCCGATTCGAAACGTTGCGTTTCACCAAGAGCGATTAACTATAAACCGCGTCTATAAGATAACCGACCACTTTTGCTCGGTTATCAGCTATAAACTCGGTTTATAGACTTGTTACAAGCATTACGTACGTAGGTACTATGAATATTTAACTACGCAATTTCCTAATTGTGTACTCACATTATATATTATTATTATTTAATAAAACAATAAAGTAAAAACAAAGTTATTAAAATGGTTAATACTCGTAAATAAATGACTGCATTTACATTTTGACTGATATACCTGATGATGAATTTTTAATTCTAAACCGGTCGTATCGTAATACTCCAGGCGACGCGTTGATTCATTTATTTATTTTATTTATTATTATTTGTTTGGACTTATTTTGTCGTTATTTGAAGTATTCTTTTTTCTTTCACGTTCTTCCAGAATTTCTTCAAAACTTGCTAATCATGGAAAGGAATGGTGGACGCAGAATTGAATACCTAAATTCACAATTATTTTCCACTGATCTTGTTTAGCTCGACTACTTATAGCATAAGTTTTTTTTATTTTCTACTACCTATGTCATAGTTCTGCTGCACAAAATCAATACAAAATTCCTTCTCCGCGGGCTTGGTAGAAGTTCTTTTTTTTTTCTTTTCAGTAAATTTTCCATTTTATTTTAAATTCTGAGTAGAACGAGGAAGGTATTGGCCATTATTGTCATGAAAACGCAAATTATTGTAATCATTTTATGATATGGTATGTTATACTGATCATCTCGCTAAAATAACATATATTGTATTGTTGATAAAGCAACACTATCAACTGAACTCCGCTCAGAATCGTTTTATTGTTAACAATGGTTTACCGTTGCTTACAAATATATATTAAATTCCCGTCGGTATCCTACCTTTCCAACTTCCCATCTACAACAGTGGCTGTACCTACGTGCGAAGTATGTCTGTCCTTTTTTTAAATTATATAACCAGCAAAAACTAGACTATAAATTAAATTTAAATTAATCAACAAAACTCGTTATCATATTATCAGTGATTATGAGTCCGCTATCTACCAAATAATAGTAGTCTAGTACATAACCTTTTTTGCAGGTTTATCGAAAATGTGTTTATTAAAAACCACGGCTGTAGATACTATGGATGCGCAACGATCCTCGAAAAGGTGGCCTCTAATGTTCTTATCGATAATGACAAAACCTGCTCACTGTGAGCGCTCATGGTAGTATGATAGTAATAATAATGAATAATGATAAACTAATAAATCTACTGGGAGCTCTTGTAGTAGGTAGGGTTTGGTAAAATTTGATAAGAACATTTCGTGCTGTTTTTTCCTGCAGCACACCATAGGCCGTCACGCAACCATAGTATCTATAGCCGTGTTAAAAACGCAGTTGTGGTGAAACGCACTCGTTTATAAACCGAGATTAGTCTTTCGATTACGATAACCGTAGTTTCCCGTAAACGGAATTATCGATTTTTGAGAGCCTTAATTTCATCAGTCAGAATTGTTTAAATGTTATACAAAAATGTAATTAGTTTGTGGTACAAAAACCGTTGAAACGCTAGCGATTATTATTAAAAGTGATCATCGAACTGGTTCAAAATTCAATTTCCTAAATACTAAAATACCTATATGTTTTAAAAAGTTCAACTATTTCAAAATAAGCAAAAACTAACACCAACGTCGAAATATACAAAAGTATTAATTTTAAAAATTGGTTTACGAATTATCAATATTCTATTATGAAACATATTTTATAAATAAAATAGGTAGGAAGTTTGAAAGCTATAAGATAAAAGATAATTTAATTAATATATTTAAAGTAATAACAAATAATTATAATCAAAAAACATACTATGAACAAAATATTATTATTAGTGTTGGTCGTTTTTATCCCTAAAAGTAAACAATGTAACCCAAGAATCGGCAATAATAAAACTTATGTAGTATGTATCTTTGTTGTCAGTTTTTAAATTTTATAGAATAATTATATTGGGTATCTAAAAACATTAAAATATAATATGAAAAAAATCAATTATTTGTTTTAATTAGGGTTCATGATTTTGTACATGTTATTTTCACAGCAAACGAATTACATCCCAAGATCCCTTTTTAATACAAATATTACATCCCGATAAAATATAACAATAACAAGAATTACATCCCAACGTAAAAACATTATTTTCCTTCCCGTTTCATACAGATTTATTAGGACTGTCAACAGCAAATTATTATTATTAGTACGTTAAAAGTTTTGATTTTAGTCGTTGTTAGGCAATTAAAAGTTTAAACCATTCGCTTTATATTATAACTCAGTTTTTGTCTATTAAATCATTCAGCAGAATCTTTAATATGATTATGATCATTTGCACGTTTCATAACATCATATTTACATAAAATGTCTTGAACGTTTTTTTACAATTCCAACGTTGAATATTAATCTTTAATATTTTTCGGTAACGAAATTTTTATCCACGAGTGCAACATAATGTTTTTTTTTCTTCACTTAAAATCACCGATGTCATATTATCAATAAAATTTAAAATTACACCAACGTTTACGCAAACGCGATCGAATACTATACGAATTCGGAATTATACAATTACAACGTTATAATAATACAAACAAACTGCTACTTAAAAAACGACACATAGTACTAAAAGTATAATTTGTACAAAATAATAATTTGTATAAAACTGGGATATAACCGCAACTATAATATATTCATAAGAATATAATTTGTAAGCGAAACTGACGCAATTCGTGTAGTCGTTCAGAAAAATCCGGGACGCAATATTTGTGTAGTCGCTTATCAGTGTTTTTTTTTTTCAGAACGCAATTCCAATGCAGCTGTCATTTTTAAGTTACCCTATAGCTTCTATTGTTAAATACAAATATGTTTCATGATGTCTGTATTAAAAATACCAAACATTTAGTTTGCATATTTTAATTTATAAGTTATTTCAATTTTAAGCGCATACTTTACGATTTTTGATAGAAAATACAAAAAATTATCGTAATTTTATATTTTAGTAACTGAATCTAATCTAAGTTTGGTTATTTGTATTTTATATACACAGTGATTTTAAGTAAATTTGATTTCTAGTTTTTTTTTTAATCATTGTGGAATCGTTAAAGCTTTATTTTAAAACAATTTTTAATCTTTTACCTACTAAATAAGTACATACTTTTGTTTTTAAAATAGAAACTGCCCTTACTTTTAGATACATATTCGAAAAGAGAATATTTATTTTAGAAATTTAGGTATGCATAACACTTATATCAGATTAATCGTTTATGAGTTATAACTGTTTAAAGTTTAGACCGGAAAAGTAAGGAAATGTAATAAATTGCATATCTATTTTTAAATGATAAATTAAAAAATAACTCTGCCCTACTCCTCCAGTCTAAACTTTAAACGATACTAAGTCCTCCCTATTTGCATTTATTTAGTACTTTTTAATATTGATGAATTATATTTAATTACTATATAGGTGTGCAATTATGATGTAAATTTCGATAGAATTAAAAAAATACTTACAATCGACAGAATACAGTGGACACCGCTTATAAAACTCGCGGATGAAATGTTTAGTCTCTTAAAAAGCTCAAAATCGCTTAACACGGTCTAGATGTACCCAAATATGTAAAAAACAAATGTCCGTTATAAGACTAAAAGGCGGCGGATTCAAGTTATATTATATTTGTAGTTCTAATAATATGAATTATTAATGATAATGAATGATCGTTCAAATTGCGGTTGGTGCCCCTCCCAAAAAAATCCTATATCCGTTATTGTAAGAGATGTAAGACTTACCACTTCGATTATAAGTCTTAATTTCGTCAAAAAAAAAAAATGGTAAAAAATTTACATTTTTAGTGAAATTTTGAAAAGTTATTTGTGTTGTAGTGATTTTAATTCATATCTTATTGCACTTCACGTTCATTGCAATTATTTTAATTGTAGTGTAAGGTATGATCAGGAGTGTATTTATATACTCTTCCGATTAACTAACCCAGATATGAAATTTCACATTTTAGTAATTTATATTGTTGTAGTTATAGTACAATCAGTCGTAATTCGAAATCAACGATACCCCATAATTTTAACAAATAAAAACACATTTTTTAATAAACAATATATATATAATAATATAATATGCTAAAGTAATATAAGTATAATGAAATTATTTCCCCACTTCGCCTTTAAGGTTCACTCGGATATAAGACACACTTTGTGCTGTTCTCAAAATGAGTCTTATAAGTGGCATCCACTGTATGTACTGTCATATTTTATAATTTACACATTTTATATTATAGGTATGTATAATAAGTACCTAAAGACAGTGGCAAATTTTCAATATTTTTCTGGGAGGGGTCCAGAAAAATCATATGTATTTTATATGTATCTATTTATAGATGCCTCTTCTTTAGACGACATTTCATTGAAATTATATAGGTTTTTGGGAGAGGTCCAGCCCCCCTGGACTCCCCCCCCGTAAATTAGCTACTGAACTATCAATATACTAATATTTCATACACCTACACTTTATATATAAGTATATTCATTGTAATTGTCAGAAGCATAAGTAATTTAGAAAACAGTAGGTAATTATTTTACAAATCAAAATTTAAAATTATAAATAAACTTTTTTTTTCTATCGGTCAAAATGTAATTTTAAAATGGCATTAATGTATTTTAAATTTAGCATATCATTATCTATAATATTGTAGTGAGTTTATTGCTCATAAATAAATTATTATAGTATAATAAATAACATATTATGTTTATGGACGTGCGTGAAGTTGGCCTTTCTTTGGACTTTGAACTACGAAACACCAATACAAATTGTAACTCATTAGTAGCTATTTTTTAATCAGTTTTCAGAATATCTTACGTTTTCCAACGTACAAAACTACAAGGAAAATCAAAAAATGTACTATAATAGAAAAAATATATTTTTAGAAATGCTACTAAACTTGCTGATCGGATCAAGATTTCTCTGGTCGAAAAGTCGCCAACAGACAAAAAATAAACCGAGGAAATATGCAAATGTTACAAAAGTCCACAGTCCTGGTAAAATTATAAAATTATGGTCACAAATTATTGTATTAAATGCCGTCGCAAGATCAAATTTTAGGAGGGCGAGGAGGAGGAGAGGGAGTGGTTAAATTAAATGATAATTTGAAAATATTAAACACGATACGTTTGACAAAACTCGCGTAAGAGAAAGTCGGGAGGTGTGAATTGTCCCACCCCCACAGACTCGGAGCCTTATTGCCGACAACCGTCTAGAGCCTTTGCGGCGATATTATAATATTTTACACTCGCGAACCACACGCCGAGATATTGCGACAATACTCGCGCGAAAACCGGTCGGGGACGGGCGTACGTCCCTCGGCAATATGATAATATGGTATTATCGAAAAACAAACATGCAATAATATTATACTACAATATATTATAAACCGAGCGCGTTATTATAATAATAATATAATATCCGTACATTATATTACACGACAGTGTGCACGCTGTATAATATTATTACGTATTAATAGCGCGGTGCCGGAGGGGTGCGGCGGCGGCGGCGCCGCCGAAATATAATTGTGTGCAAACAATCCGTCGGACGAACGCAAACACGAGAAATTATAAATAACGAGGTGTGTAACGTTATAATGATAATAACGATAACAATATTATACGCGGCAGTGCCGTTTGTATATTATCGTGTCACGTCGCGTGACAGACGGGCGCGAATACATTTCGGTCGTCGCCGCGCTGTCGCGACAGAATAAATACACTCAGCAGACACTGTAAATGCTCTCGACACCGGTGTGCAGCGTTCCCGTGCGTAACATTTTGATAGACAACGAAAAACGAAAATGACTGTAATAACAATTGCTCTGCGGGGTCCGGGTCCGTGATACGTGCGCGCTCTGTATAATAATTATTACAATATATACGCTCATACGGCGGCGTCTCGTCTACATACATGTCGCCAATCTGCAGCAGTGGCGACTGCAGTGGCGGCACCGACACCGGCGGCGATTGCGGCAGATGGGCCGCCGCGTGCCAGAACCCCGTGAGAATCGCACGGGTCAAGCCGACGACGGTCCGGTTAACGTCCACGGACGACGGCGGCCGCGACACGGCGGCCGTCGCGAAATCGTCGTGCGTGCTCATCGACGAGTACGCCAGCCACAGCACGGTGCACGGTATGCGGTACATATCCAAAGCCAGTCTGCTGGAGAAGTGAGCGCAAAACATTACACGCCAATTATTGTATCGCTATATTTCAATAGTGTGTTTTTATTCAAACGGACGTATATCACTAGAAATCGAAAAAACACGTTTTCGGTATCGAAAAAATCAGAAAAATTTGGAGCGTAAACTGGTAAAAAAGCGTATTTAATTACAGACAATTAACTTGGTACAGTCGACTAAAAGATATCCAGGCGCCATGGGTTCCCCCTGAACTTCTAAATTTCAAATATAATTTTAAGATTCTGAGTGTAGCGAAGTCATTTTTAGGTTTTTATACAAATTTTAATGTTTTTGTTGAAATTCAGTTAAAAATATTCGAATCGGTTTTATGAACTTGAAATTCAAAACGGGGACGGGTGCAGTTACTGTTATAGATAATTAATGTATTATATACCTGTAAGCAACGATAAGCCATTGCTTACGAAAAAACGATTCTGAGCGTAGTTCAGTTGATAGTGATGCTTTGTCATCAATATACATGTTATTTTATAGTAAATTAATTAAATAGGCTTTATATAATTTCTTTAATAATATTTGTTTATGTACCGATTTTTCCAGTTTTCCTACGTTTTTCCCGGTTTTTCACATTTGCAAGGAAAACTTTTAAGAAAATCAAAAAATAACTATCTTTAAAGTACCTCCCAACACCGATTTCTTTTCAGAAAAGGTGCTAGACTAAAAGTCTGAGCAAGTCTTCTGGTAGAAAAGTTGTAAATAGATAAAAAAAAAAATTAAACATCTTTGTAAAGCCATAAGCTTCTTCGCTCCACTCAGAATCTATTTATAATAGAATATATAGAATATATAGAATCTAATTTATATGCATTTTAATCTTGCGAGTTTTATACGTAATTTTTAATTGGTAGGTACTGTTTGGTAAAACTGTTAGACATAACAGAAATGGGTGAAAATTTAACAGGAGGTTAATTAAATGTTTTACTATGTTGTCAAAAAAAAAAAAAAAATAATAAGTTTAATGTAGTATTTTTTTATAAACAATTTTAATATCAAATTTTGATGAAAATCGTATGAATAAAAAATTAAGTGGAACAAATCTAATTATGAAATTTTTTGTTTTTAACTTATTAATGTATATTGTCGATTTTAGAACGATGGTAAAGTCAGAATAGAGGGGACTGACATGGTTCTGAAATTATAGCTTGTTGAAGTTCTGATATTATGCGGATATTGTGTTATGTTAAATAACTCTATATTGTCTTTTATAAAATATGTTTGTCTTAGTGTAATAGTTATAGATACTTATTACCATTCAAGGGATCGCGAGTTCAAACCAAGGTTTCGAAAAAAATTGTTTACATTTATTTTTTTCCTTTTACCTAAACAGGGAAAAAACTAATGCATTTTAGGTGTACCTATAGAGACTCAGTTATCCCTCGCTTGGACTACTTTAATCGAAAAATACCCTTCACAACAAATTTGTGCAAACTTTTCTACCAGAAATCCTACTCCGATTTCTAAGTGAAACATTTTTTCCGAAAAAAATCGTACTGGGGAGGTACTTTAGGGAAGTCGTTTTTTATTTTCCCAGGAGATTTCTACATAAATGGGAAAACCGGGAAAAGCACAGAAAAACGATAAAATCGGTACAATATTAAAAAAATATTATTAAAGAAAATATATAATGCCTATTTAAATATTTCACCATAATATGACATATATTTGTTGACAAATCACTATCAACTGAATTCCAATCAGAATAGTTTTTGCAATGGTTTATCGTTGCTTACAGATGCAAATTAATTTCCCCTCTATATCCTACATTTCCAACTTCTCACCAGAAACAATACCTGCACCCATTGTGCGAAGTATGTCCAGTTTTTTTTTATGTTTGATTTTATTATGCCCCTCCCTTTGTCGTATGTCGACTTATTGATCAAAAGAGTCTAGGCAGGTTTATTTAGGGTTCTACGTAAAAAAAAAAAAACAAAAAAAGGTCATTTGAAACTTTACCTACTAAGACACTGCCCTTTCTGATAAATTTCCCGCGGTCGTCCTTATAAAATATATTTAAATCAACACTAATTTGTTAAAAGAGCGTATACTTCATTCAAGGTATGTATACTTTGTGCACAAGGTATTATGTATACGAGTAATTTTATTGATTTCCGATGTTTTATTTTTTGCTTCCTGAAAAAAAGTCAAATTTGATCAACGCCTTTTAAACAAAACACCGTCTATTTTATCACAAAACACGATCCCGATGATGGAAAAATTAATTCGAAAATAAAAAAAAAACCCGTGTATTATTATATACACGGTTAGAATGTTTTGGTTTGTATAGGCGGTAAAAGCCTGTTATCTATCCCGGGCCAAAGGTTTTCACTAGATGGTACGAAAAATATTATAGGATTTTGATTAGGTTATTTAAGTTTATAGATGTAATGAGTCACTGAATTGACCAAAGAAGTTTATTGCAGTTATATTTAGACTGGTACGTGAATGACGTTATTTAGGTACGGCCGAGTTAACACGTGTACGCAACGGTATAAAGCAGGGATTTGGCCTGCTTACAAATGACAATTTCCAAAAAAGTTGTTGAGGATTGATGAAGGAGTAGGTACAGTGTTTCTTGTACTTGGAATGCATTGTCTTGTAGAGCATACTACTTCCAAAAAACTGGTTAAATATTAGCATATAAATGCAAAGGCGAGGGTTGAAATTGTTGAAAGTTTAAACCAAAGCACATCCTATTGACAATAACGCAATGTGCATACGAAATCATATCCCCTTAAATTCATTTGGGACGTCTATAAGGATGTTAAATACTCGCTCCAGCAACAACATGGTGAAATTCATGTTGAAATCAAATCCAACTTGTATCACTTCAATTATCCATTAAAACAATCATAATTCTCGAGTTTAAGCTTATTTTATCCAGACGGAATCAATAAGGGAAGTGTCCAAAAATGCAAACAAATGTTTTATATAATAAATAGGTACAAAAATCAACAATAGTCCCCGTTTTCGGGGAAAATAAAAAAATTATATTATAATTATTGTTAAATACATGGAAAATAGAAAAAAGCAAAATTACCCATAGATACGCAAATATTCATATAGACAACTAACATAGAGAAAGCGTGATGTTAGGTTATACTAGCTAACCTAATTCTGATGTAAATTTCGAGATTAGAGGACTAGAAATATCCGGAGAAATATCTTAAATTTCAATATTTTATTATATAGGTACAAAAAATAATTTCGTTTAAGTACATATTCATTGTATAATGACTGTGATGTGTGTGCAATATGGTTGCATTTTCGCACTCATTTAAAATGAGTTTAAAATATCGTAATACTTATTAATCTGGTTTTGATAATCTCTATCTTATTATAATATTTAAATTCAACCAAATAAATATCCTAACTGTTTAAATATAATATAGGTACACGAGTTTTACCGCAGAATGTTATTTGTGTGACCTATTTATATGGCTGCCATATTTATGCTGTTGGATATTTTTCAAATATTTACACAGTGTTTGGATGTGAATGAAACCTGGTGTAAACCGTTTTCCGTTAAAGTTGACCCCGTGATATTTAAATTACCATCCACCGGTAAAATTTAACAAGAGAAATTTGGTCTGAGAGGGTAAAATTATTCTCTAGTGAATAATTGCAAACATTCCCTCAATCAAATATCACGGGAGTTAATTATAATCACTAGCACACCGAGATAAAAACAAAATATTTTCAATACGAAATATTTCAACGCGTAAATATAATATATAAATAGTTGTAATATCGTTGAACGTAACTTCAGTACCTATGAAGTTTGTGTGAAAACCCTATTTGCCTATTCACAGTACCCAACATCAACCCCTATTTACACCAAAAGACCATAAGTACATATTGTATTATATTCGTATACACAGAGTATTTTCTTTTTTTAATAATAATTTACAAAGATTTCGAGTATCCACTATATATATTTTTCTTCAATAGAATCGTTTAATGACCACCTCATACAAAATATAAAACTGATACCTTTATTCCGTACACCATAAACACGTACCAAATTTAGATTTACATTACCCCCTCCTCTATTTAACACATATTCGAAAAGGAAATAATTTTCTAAACATATTGTTATGCATAACGCATAATATATATTATATAACTATTGTTTATGATGAGTTATAACAATTTATAACTTAAACCGGAGAAACAGGAATGGGCGATAAATCGCATAACCTTTTTAGATAATAGCTTATCCTTACTTATTCCCCCAGTGAAAATTTTAAATTTATATAATTCGTAACTAAAATTTTGTCTTAGTGTTATTAAACATATCAAAATGATTAGAAAAATATTTTCTTTTCAAATCATCAACTGATTTAAAAACAGGAAGATTTTTTTATTTTCCAAGTGGTTTACATAATAATTTCAAAAACAGGGAAAACAAAAAAATGTATTATATTAAATTTGATTTTTATCGTAATTCAGTTAAAAATATTCGTACACTTGAAATTTGGACAGAGTTCTTATACTCACATTTTCTAGACGTGTTCAAAACATTTTAGCCATATTTGAATTATTTATAGACATTTTAATTTTGTGAGTTTTTACGTAATTTTATTCGGTAGATACTCTGTAGACAAAATTGTTAGACCAAATAGAAATGCTTGAAAATTTAACTGAAAGTTCATTAAAAATTTTACTACTCGTACTTTGGCGGTCAAAAAATAAATTTGAGTGTAATTTTTTGATTATATAGGAGTTTTGAATAATTTTAATATCAAATTATGACAAAAATCATTAATATTTTAAAACATTCAAAACATGTATAAGCAAACTTCATTCCGTTAGCAATGGTTTATCGTTGCTTTCAGATACAAATTATATAACTTTATTTTTCCTACCTTTCTAATTTCTCACTTACAATATTGGCACATCCATCCCCAGTATCAGTTCTTTTTTTTTTTTTCTAGAATTTTTAATAATTCTAAATTAAACTAATTAATGTTTTTGGATATTAATGTTTACTTCAGACATAAGTATATTGACTATAAATTTAAGAACAAAAAAATCGATTTTTAAACATTTTTAGGTAAGGTCGTGTAGGATGATTGGGATGCAAATTTCTCTCACGTATCCGAATCATCTCAACCACAGACGTAGGTAAAGATTATCTATTAGATGGAGGTCTAACTATCAATTATTAATTGCAATAGTAAAGAATATTGGGAATTGAACTCCTGTAGTCATTTATAAATGGGAGGGCCTTTATCTACGTCATTGTATATAACATACCTAATAATAATAATGATATAAAGAAAGTCAATATTCTGTATTACTTTCACCTATCGTATTCATGTCATCAAGTTGAAAAGTAAATAACCCGCATTTTATACATAATATGTGAGTATCTGTCCGCCCGTATTTATTAAAGTGCAATTATTATCAAATATTTGCATATTAATAGTAATAATAACGTAGGTATTATTTTATATACTGTGAAAAAATAAAATAAATGGGTACGAAATCGAAATTAACAGAAACCGTTATTGCGTATTAACATTTCAAAAATGTGTATTTTCACGAGAACGATTGTTTAAAAAAGATCAAAATAATAAGAATTTAATAATAACAAAAAATAGATGAAAACTATTGCCATATTATGATTTTTGGTAAAAAGTGTTTTTCTCATGTACATAAAAATGTTCACTCTAAAATCTAAATAGCTTTCCTTTTGAATGCGTATTCGGTGTCAGACCTAAGGTTCTACCTTACTCCCACTATTTCTTTTATCACTATATTAATACAACAGTTAATAGAGTTTTAAAAGTACTAGGCTTTATAAAGCGCAATACTAGACATTTTAGGTCCATCGCTTGTTTACGTTCCCTCTTACCGCCACTTAGTTGCTACCTTATTATGTTTTTATCTTATCTTTGTTAAATGGCCCAATCGATGTTTCTGATTTATATCTTCCGTCAGTTTTCGTGTCGCTGTCTATTCAACACGAGACCACTCATTGTTCCACGTCACTTCTCACTGCACTCACCTACAACCGCAACCAATCTATTCACAAAATGCTATCCTCTATCTCTGTTTCATTCGCACTATAACTTGTTAATTATACGTGAAATGCTGTCTATTTTTGTTGTTAAATGTTTTTATTTTCGTTATTCTCATTATACATAGGTACCTATTGTTATTATTATTACTAATCTGTCAAAATGTAAGTTCTCAATCTTACTGTATCATGTAACTGCTGGACTGGCGTTAATTAATTAAACAAATAAATACATATTTGTTTAACCGGTAGGGTAGCCGTCGTCGTGAAATAGGTAATTGGTCTACTTTAAATTTGTTTATGATATTGTTTTCTCTCGCGCCGCGCACTCGTTTGCAATAATGTATATACATATTGTAATGTATAATGTATATTATCGAATAAGTATGGTTCGTGGAACTGAATTTAATATATTTGAAATAGAAACAATTGTACTGACGCCGTCGCCAGTATCGAACGCACTGTTTTGTATTTATATAGATGAGCGGAATTCGCGACCAAAGTATAACAATTCCAAACTATAATTGGAAACCATGGAAATGTCCTGTTTCGCCCTCTTCTATTTCGTACGTACATAGGTAGATACACAATATAGACAAAATAATACACGTGTATCCCCAATAATAATTAGTAGAAAACTTCCAAAAATTAAAAGCTCAAAAGTGGCTCCAAAGTTTTGTTAATGATATAGTAAGAAAGTAAATCAAAAAGTCAACAAAAAATGGTCTTGTGATTTTTCAATTAAATCATTTTTTCTGGTAAAAATGTCGTCCATGTTTTTATAAGATAAACAAATTGTGAAATTGTTTTTATTTAAAAAATGGCGCCGAAAATCAAAAATATTACCTGTTTAAAGTACAATCTAAAAAACTTGAGCTTTTAGAAGAGTTGCAACACGTAAAAATCAAAGCAAGTTTACTAGGAAAAACTGTGTCCACAGAATAGAACAAGAACAAAGAAACAAACAGCATTGTAAAACCAATAGCTCCCTCGCTACTCTCGGAATCTAAAAAAATACTTTCAAAACTAAGAAGGTAGACACACGCGTGAGGTGAGCGCGGACTACGAAGATTATTATCCCTGGTCAAAAAAAGTTTTTTTTAGTATCCAGTAAAATAACATAATATACCAATGGTATTTACAATTTAAGTTTACATTTTAAGAGTCCCTGCTGTCATTGTTAATGTTTACATGTTTAGAATATTATTATAATTATTTTTTTTTTTATTATTGTTATTATTTTTTTTTTATTTTTTTCATTAATCCATGATAATACCATATAATTAAATTATTGATACACTGTTTTTAAGTTTTAATTTTAATTTCAATAAAAGTTAACTATTGCTGATGGTTATATGAAATAAAATAATAAAAATCTACAATTAAATAGACAATAGTGTTTTAAATTTTTTTATAATTGACACAGGAACAACATGAAAGCACACTAGAAACACCATTAGGTATTGATTTTCAAAATAATAATTTAAATAGAAATCAAAATTAGATTTTTCAAACAGATTTTAAGTACACAAATAAAAAAAAAGAGCTGATACTGGGGACGAGTGCGGCCACTGTTGTAAGTGGGTACACAAAATTATTTAATTTATCATTGATAACAGAAATCGATTTGGAGCAGAGTTCGGTTATGTATTTAAAAGCTATAATATTTATGATTAACAAAAAAGGTCTCTTGTCGTTTATGGTAAAAAACATAATCCGTAAACATTTAAAATAATGAAATTGTTATTATTATACAACGATTTTCGTCAAAATATGATATTAAAATTATAGTTTTAAAATAATATACATTTTGTTTTTATCAAAAAGTTCGAATTTTAATGAACTTCCAGTTAAATATTCAAGCATTTCTGTTGAGTCTAACAATCTATCTACCGAATAAATATTACATACAAAAAACGCAAAATTAAAATGTCTATAAATATTTCAAAAATTGCTAAAATGTTTTGAATTGTTTATCACGTCTAGAAAAGGCAAATATAAAAATTCTGTCCAAATTTCAACCTAACCTAGCCTAACCTTACAAATATTTTGAACTAAATTACAACAAATAACAAATTTGAAAATAATAAAAGCATTATTTTTGTAAATTTCCCGTTTTTCTTACGTTTTATCCTGGTTTTACCCAAATTTTATGAAAACCGCTTGGAAAATTAAAAAATGACCAGGGTAAAGTACCATCTAAATAATTATATCTTTCAGAAACGGGGCCACATGAATACATTATAGCAAGAGTTCTGGTAGATTTTTTGTACACAGCGTAAAAAACTAAAAAAATAAACAGTAATACCAAAACATTTTTCGCTCTGCTGAGAATCTAAAATGTTATTTTTTTTACTACTCTTATATTGTTTTATAATTTTTCATATCTATATATTATAAGTTTGAAATATTCAGAATTTAAAACTCTCAATTTTTGTTATAGGTATACTTATCATTTAATTTGTATGTAAATGACAATAAATAATAATTGAGCATACAATAAAAATAGCACAGTAATTTATACCTATGTAATGTGATACGATGTTATCGTCAAAAATATCTTATTATGATTGAAAATGTTTAATAAAATATTACAATTAGTGTGGAAATATTGACTTTTTAATTAATTTTTTACATAAAACATTATTAGATTAAATTAAAACAAAAAAGTATTAAATAGAAATTATTATTTAATTTATTAGATATGTTTAAAACTATATATATATATTATTGTTGAAAGGGCACATTGTCCATAATAATGTCTATGGACTGCGTATAATAACAAGTGCTCGACTGCAGGTGGATTGGAGACAACAGAGTTAATTTCTTTTCTTTTTCTTTTTTAAATTCATTAATTTAAAGCATAGGTATCTGTTGATTTAATTAAATAGAGAACACGGGCATTTATCTTAATATATTTTTATTTTAAAATCATGTTTTTCTTTCTTTAATACTTTGAAAAAATGTTTTATTAATATTAATTATAATTTATAATCAATATAATATAATAATATGATTCAACACTAGTGAGAAAAAATTCAGGTTCCATAGATTCCCACTCCTTTTTACCAAGAAAAATATTTGCAATTTAAAATTTTTTATGAAATAATAATTATAAAATTAGTTAATAGATATAGTTATTAAATAATACATGCTGTCACTATTACTATATTTACAGGTGATTAATCCTAAATAAGACACTCATTATATCTGTAGAACGAAATAACTTTTTTCGTTTTTAGTAGTCTTGATAATTTAAGAAACAAACAGCTTTAAAATATTACATGTCCGTTGTTTTTTTTGTCACACTTAGTTTTTGAGATAAAACTACAACCCGCTTTTGATTTCAAAATAACAACTAATATTAAAAATGACATGAATGGATCAAGTTTTAGTTTAAACACATTTTAGTTTTGACATTTTTAATATCTGTTAATCCGTTGGTGAGATATTCCACTCGGAAGTTTGGTAGAAAGAGGATAGTGAAAGACTATTTAAATGACACTCCATTAGTTTCAAGTTATTAAAACTTGAAAGTGGAATATCTTGTCAACAGGTTGAAGGAAATTGAAACCATCAATGAATGTCAGCAACCAAAATGTATTTCAATTAAAACTTCATCTATTTAAGTAATTTATAATTAAGGTTGCTATATTGTTTATTCATTTATTTTTTTTTTACTCTATGTACAACTTTTCTATCAGATATCTTGCCCCGATTCACAAGTGTAGTACCTTTTCTGAAAAGAAATATTTTTTTGATTTTCCAAGCGGTTTTCATAACAATTGAGAAAACCGGAAAAAAGGATAGGATAAACGGAAAAATGTGCATGCATAAATATTGTATAAAAAATTTTTCGCTCAGAATCGTTTTTCATTAACAATGGTTAATCGTTGAGTACAGATATAAATTAAATTGCTCTCTATATCTTGCCTACCCTAACTTCTCACCTATAACAGTGGCCTACACATCGTGCGAAATATGTCCGTTTCTTTGGTCTATTACCAAGAATAGGAAGATGAGAAATCTTCGACAAAAGTCTACCATCAGCTCCATACTTAGCTTTCATAATACTATTGTTCTTCGAGGTGTGATTTGAAAAAGACCAATAGCGTTACTTATAATAAGTAAATTCAAAATTTAAAACTTACATTAGTAGTAGTTAATAGTTATAGCTATAATGTAGTACATGCAACCTTGTGTATTAATTATAAATTACAAATAATAATCAATATTACTTTTAATTTACTATCGAAAACTTCTTTTTTACGAATGACAGTTCATAAAAAATAAACCTCTGTGAACTCTTAACTTATATTTTTTTACGGATTAGAGAAGGATTAATATTAATTTGGTTTTTTTATTCTACTTGAGTAGATACCTTTATTTGTGTATTCAAGTAATAATAACAATATTGCATTATGAATCGCGGCTTGAATTTTTAAACTATGAACAATTTCAGTTTGTAATTCATGATTGGTAGGTATGCATTTTCATTGATCAAAATAAATAAGTACACTTCAATCAGTTAAAAGTTTCCTACAGAATAAGAAACTAAAAGTATGTTTGATATTACAATTATATAGTGAATTTAATGGTAATATTATATTATATAATTGTCTACGCATACACTTTGTAGATTATAATATGTTGTATAAATAACTGTAATAATATGACACGTTAATTTAATATTTTTGTGACAAGAAAAATACATTTTAAAAGAAATAGGTTTAAACTAAGTATTTACATTTTAGATACTGATCAGAACGAGATATATATATATATATTTTTATAAGATATTTTTCATCACTAAAAATGCTCCAAAAGTTTCATTTTGTTTTATAGATTATAATAAATTGAATTCAGATAATATAGTCGTATAGGTATATAGAATGATTCAACATTTATGTTACAGCCATTTTATCATGTAAGTATTCAAAATAAAAAATGTATGATACAGAAGTTTTCGATTTATAAACATCAAAAAAATTTGTAACTTTGTTTTGCTATATTTTTTTTTTTTTTGGGGGGGGGGGGGTGATCGATTTTTGAAATTCAAATGGAAACCTATTTTTAAAATTCCATGAACAGATGGAGTAATTTAGTTAAAATACATTTTAGTATTGGAAATGTTTGATTTCCGTTAACCCATTGACGAGATATTCCCTTTTTAGTTTTGGTAGGGGGAGAGTAGTGAAACATTATACGCTTGCCGCTATAACCGAAAAACTGATAGAGGGGTGGTGGTAGACACGTTTTTCCAGCCTCTCGATTTTATAATGAGAAATTTTTTGATGTTTCGGTGCTAAATTTTGTTCATATTATTATGTAGCAAATTAAAGCTTTTGTTTTAATTTAAATAATAAAACTTGAATGGTATATTACAATATAAACTCGCGATCAGTCTGTGTGGTATCTTTTACTGTAGAAATCTTTCTTGTGTAGTAAAGCCCATACATACATGAAATGTTTTACTTATAACTATACTAGTTGTATCCTGTTTCCATTATCATATCACAATCACTAACACATATTCTAGGGTTATTGTTTTATGATTGAGAGAACCAAAAAGGTAAGTCATTTGAAATAATTAAGATACTTAGTAGAATTAAGTAGTCTACGATTTTAAATGTGATTTAAAATACAAGTGTATTCGAATTATAATTAAAATTTTATGTAAGGTGAAGATGCGGTATCTAACCAAAAAAGTGCGGGGGTAACAAAGTTGGTTCGGCTAAAATTAGGCGATATTCTGCAAGTCAAAAATGTGGAAACAGTTAATTATGAACTTCGGGGTACTATTAATTTAAAAACGGACAAGATACGTTTACGAAACAAAGTAGGATTTCGGACATTATATGATATACACAAAACGAGGTAATCGACGATGGAAATTACATGATGATGTAAAAATAAAAGTAATTCCTGTAAAAGACACCACGTAGGTTGATTGCGAGTTTATATTATATTTATATATCATTTAGTTAAATTTGTAAATACCTAAATAAAAACATTATTATTAGGTTTTTTTTCTATTTACAGTTAAATACCATTCAAGTTTTATTATTTAAATTAAAACATCCGACAATATACTTTCTGACGAATTCTTTTTCCGACAAAATACGCTTCTGACAGAGTACGTTTCCAACAAAACACAGTTCCTATAAAATACGGTTACGACAAAATATTTTCCAATATTTTACGCGCCTCCTATTTAGCCATGATAATGACGTTTATTTTTGGTTAAAAATAAGATAAAATATATCAACATATTTTCATATTTTATCACCACTCAAATATCGTAATCATTATCAGCTAGTAATATTATCCCATTTATTTGTATTATGACGTTATAGATGCCCAACATAGACTTTAGTATCTGATAATAATATTATGTATGAATTTATACTTTGATTTCGGTTGTCAAAAAAATATTACTGTTCGCGTCTGTTATAGACACTAGATAGATAAAAATAAGCGGAATAAATTGTTGACGAGACCTTAGAATGTTGTGTGTTCAGATAGGTGTCCGTTAAAGACAGGTTTGTCTATAATCATTGATTCGAATGGTACTCGTTAAATAATATAAAACAAAATATTAGATATTTTGGTTTATTAATTTTTTTTAACACGTAAATATTTTCATTAATGACAAAAAAACATTATTCCGGAAAATCAATAAAGCCCCTTAGATTTAGGACACTAATGCAATCGAATTTCCTGCATTCCCCTACTTACACCACTGTCAGAACGCAAAACATTTATTTTACGCATTGTGCAAACGTAATAACCAATAATTGTATATTATACGAGCACATTTATACCGACTGGGATACGGCAATATTATAACATATTGTTGTCATCAGTGTTTTGAACGATATTTTAATAACGTGTTTTACTAGAGCCTTTAAATACCGTTCTCATCTATCGATCAGTGGTACAGATTCGATTTTTATAGCGGAAATCTTGGAAAGACTAGAGGTGAAAATTCGTTACATATCATGTACGCTATTAAATATGAGTTATAAGTCAATATTATAATACATGCTATATACAGTAAATTATTGCGTGTTTTTTCCCCCTTATTTTTATAGACCTGGGAACGGGGAAAATTTCTAACGCCATCACGTATACATGTGCGAAATATCGTGGCCATTGCTACTATAATAACGTCGATAATTTTCAACCTAACCTATAATAAATTTAAATTTCATTCAGTTTACTATGCGCAGAATACTTTTATGGTCGTCGTATTATCGTTTATAGTTTAAACGAGAAATCCAACGTTAAAATATGAAAAATATTTGATCCTATTGTGGTCGATGTGATTAACGTGATTTACTTGCTTGAGTTTACAGAAAATTGCATAAAAATATACTCCTAAGGAATATCGAAATTACATGAAAACGCGGCAGCTTGCCGGTCGTTCAAATATTGCGAGACTAAAATTTTAATAATAATATCGAAATAGTTAAGTTAGAAATTTGCTTAATCCATGAGAGAATTCGTTTCATTTTTCTTCTGATTGAGTGTTTAAAAAAATATATTAAATTTTAAAACAAATCTATAAATTTAAAAAAAAAAAAAAAAAAAAGATTTACTTAAGATAATATTTTTCTCACTCGAGCTAGGAACAAGATTCAACGTTAAAAGTCCTTATGGTATTTGTACATTTTTAAACATTAAAATAATATTTCCAAATATATTAAACGCATCACGTACAAGTTTAAACTGCATTTTGTGGAATATGCAATGGAAAATACATCTAAAATATTCCTCGAAACAAAATATCTAAACGCCTCCAATTTCCGTTGGAAGAATATTACTTATTGTGGGTTGTTTATTATATACATTATAATAATTCAAGTCAGACTTACCCGTTTGTATCGTGTAAAAAGAAACAAGAAAATCTAAAGAAAGTTTTTTTTTAAATTTATTCTATTTAAGTACTAATTTTGTACTTCGTTAATGTCATCGTATTTATTTTCTCTAAATATTTTATTTGTAAATGATTTTATTCGTACCTACGGAGATGAGTTTAAATATAATTTACATTTTTTCAATGAAATACCTAAAGATACCATACCTTATACATTCAAATATGTACAGTATATCGTCACCAAAGAGTCTTAACTTTAAAGGCTACACTTTTACCCAATATACTTTCGAACGAATGACAATATGATAAATAGTACCTATAAATTAAACTTTAAGACAAGTAACATTATTTTAAAATACGTTGAAATATTGTTTGGGGAACTCCAATCTCTTAATATAATATTAATATATAAAAACGTGGTCTATGCCTCCCACACTTAAGGAAGTTTTTTTACTTCAAATTATCTTTCTTGCGTAATAAGTTTTAATTTGATACCTATCACGACCATTGAAAAAAAAAAAACAAGAAATACGGTATCATAATATTATATTAAATATTAATAATGCCGTACACGTCACGTTTTTGAATTTTTTTTATAATTTAACCCATAATAATTGGCAGATCTTAACGAACTCATAGACACTCACATCTTAAAATTGGTGCATTAGTTTAAGATTTGCGAGGAAATATACACAGTACACAAATACATACTTAATATACCTACAAACAGCTAAAATCATAACTTTCCGTAGTCGGGTAACATTTATTTAATAGGTACTTAACAAATTTAACATTTTAACAGCAAAGAGTAAATGATTGCAGATAAGAAAATAATATTATGGTTTCAAACAAAACAAAAAACAGCTGTACGAAATCTATTCACAGATAAGCGACACGAACAAGATGGATACCTATATAATATGTATAATGTATATTATATACCACTCATTACTCTGTAAATATTTTTTGAATTCTGTTTTGGGGACATTAAACCAGACAAATGGATTTTAAACTCCTTCGGTTTAAAAATGTTTAACTATTGTATTTTGCACATGCGCAACTTTTTTTTAAATGGCAACATCTATTTTTAAATTTAATTTTGGATTTATCCGATTTTTTTTTTAACTGAACTAATTATAGTATTATACTTTATTAATTACTTTAACAGATAACTAATAGTTTTGATTATATCATGTTGTTTAGAAGGAAAAATACATTTAGTTAAAAAAAATCAAATGTAATAATTTTTTTTTTTAATTACACTTAACTCCAGTTTAGCCAATTTTGAATTTTGAGTTGATACACTTGAAAAAAATCAATAAATACAAAATTGATATTTAAATTGAAAAATATTTACAAGTTAATGAGTGGTGAAGTAAACCCTGTTTCCGCGGTATATACCCACTTTGGACATAGATATCTATATTATCCATAACATGGATAACTGCGGCAGTAGCTAGGAACAAGTAATATGATTTTCCCTGCACCCATATCTTTCTATAGTGTACAACGACGGCCATAATAAAATTCCAACGAATTAATATTTTGGTCATTTTATTATTGTATCGCCATCTATCGAGAATTTTCTTAAGCATCAATGAAAAACACGAGCCCGTAAATGCCACAAATCCGGTGAGTTTTTTACTAATGCGGGTGCTGTTTTAAGAAATTGTTCGATATTGATGTACACATCACATACGATTTACACATATTTACTCCCGATTACAACTTTAAACACAACTATTATCGAAAAAAAATGATTTATCATATCTTTTTTCCATTTATTATATTGCGTATTTGCGTTTAATTTCTAAAAATGATGTAGGTACTCCTGGCAGGAATTTGTATAGAAATTTGGGGAACTAAGTTCTCCCAAGGCCTACCCCACCTATTCGCGCCTATGTTTACAGCATATTTAGACTTAACTATACCTAGTAACAACTACATTTGAGTTATGTAGAAGTACACAATTAATAACATATAACGATATAAGTACAATATTATTACATTTTTATTCAACTATGGCTGTACGTCTACTTGCCGAAGTATCGGTAAAATAAGTCTTGTATGGAATTTTTTTCAGAATATTTTGGACTACAATGTTAACAATCTGTGGGTTGTCTGCGTGTTTTATTGGCAACGAGTTATGGCTCAGATACAATTCCAAACCTACAAATTTAGCGGTCAAAGACACCCATGTACCATTGTACGAGTTTCCGTTCCCCTCGATTACCCTTTGTCCGGCAATTAAAGTAAAAAAGTCAACGGCTTTGGAATATTTTTCAAGGTACCTACCTAACCTAAAATATACGAATTAATGATTTATTTAGCTATTTTTTAACATCTATAAGCTACCTAATTGTATTAATATTTACAATATATGTCATATAGATACATTAGTATAGAGAATGATTCGTTACGCACCGATTTAGAGCATATAATGAGTATTCTATCGACGATGCAACATCCGACTTATTTTCGGATGGAAAATCATATACAAAAGGTCAAACCCTTGTTGCCCTTATTCAAAGATGTAAACTTAACCGATTTCATGTTGACTACGCTCCCGACGTGCAAAGAAATATTCGGCCGATGCAAGTGGCATGGACAGACCATATCGTGCTGCGAAGCGTTTTCACTTCAAAGGACCGAGGAAGGATTTTGCTATTCGTTCAACTCTCTTACTTCCGAAGCTGGAAAACATTGGTGAGATGATGGTGATTAATAAGACAATATTAATCTCTATAAAATATAATTAAAGACAATAACGTAGGTATTATACCTACGGTATAGATTATATTAAATAAACAAACAAGGTATAAACGTTTACAGTCCTCTCTCCGAAGTGTTGGAAAACGAAGGGATCGTGGAGGAAGACGACTATATGTATCCGGGGTGTCAATTGAGGAGAAACACCGCTGTGGGTACCGTCACGGGTTTAGAAGTATTTCTCTACGAGACCAATATGTCCGAATCGTTACAAATGGGACAGCGCGACATAGACGGTGCCAGGGTACGTATCCAAAAACAAAACTAGGTATACTTTCTTCTTCTTCGCCTTCATCCCAGCTATTTAGAGGTCATCCATTCTTGTCCCAAACTTCCACTTGACCCGATCTCCCACCTCGCATACACTGGTAGTCCTTGAGTGCCCTCATATTATTCTCAATCGTATCCGACCATCTTTTTCTGTTTCCTACTACCTATCTTTCTTCCCAAGTTTAATTTCAAAAACGAAACTATATCTACTAAACCCAGCAAATTTAGTATCTAAATTTATACACCTAGGTCATGGTGCATACTTCGTACCAGTTTCCGAACGCGGGTGACGGTATATGGTTGAGATCGAAACAAGGCCGAAGACTGAACATTATGATTACACCAGTTATAACCGTGACCAGCAACCGAGTAAAAGACCTAAGCGTCGAGACGCGCGGCTGCGTGTTTCCGGACGAGAGAGAGCTGTACATTTATCACGTGTACACGCAGAGTTCATGTCTGATCCAATGCCGAATGGAGTTCATTTTGGACTCGTGCGGATGTCACATGTATTTCTTTTTGACGCCCAGTAAGCGAAATATATTTTTCATTTCTTTTAACTTTTACTATTACACGTAATGGGTATTTTTTTCCCGCTAGGCGACGGGAAACCGATTTGCGGTATTCCAGATCTGCCTTGCATAAGTCGCAATTCCCGTGAGTGAAATAAATACCTATATTATCTTTTAAATTATAAAAACGGCGTAGAAAGAAAAAATTATGTACCCGTGTATCTATAATAACATTATCACGGGTTGTATGTTTCGCAGGTCACATGAGAATGTTAACGCCACCAAAAGGCACACCGGGTTTCGAGGTTCGACTTTTGCGTGATTCTCTTAATTGTTCGCAGTGCATACCAACATGTTACGAGACAACGCACGAAATCGAAATGGAAGCATCGCCCGATCAGAGAACATCCGTTTGGAAGTTTTACAGTTATTTGGACGTGGCTTACGGTAACTTGGGCGCTAAAAAATATCAAAGGGATATAACTTTTGCATGGACGGACCTTTTGGGTAAAACGCGTATTACTTAAACATAATAATATATATGTATCGATTGTACCTATCCAACAGATGTTTGATTATACATACCATTGTATTAATTATTATATTGCAGTGGCACTGGGCGGCGTTGCAAACTTGTTTTTGGGGTTCAGCATATTGAGCGTGGCCGAATTTATTTATTGGGCGGTGAAAATATTCGTCAGCACGTTCATTAGAATGTTCAAATAATGTTATAACTATTTTGTAATACGAATATGTCATCATTATAAAAAAATGGAATAAAAGCCTTTTTGTAGGGCATATAATATCGTAGAACACCTGTATATTTATTTACGGAACGCCTGTCCTCAATTATTATTATATAAATTTAATAGATATCCATAAACGAAACTTGCACTGCACAACGCCTCAGTTGTGCATTTCGACCACTGCAGCGGCAGGTATAAGCATGAATTCTAATAAACCGCCGCCAAAGCCGACGTTTTGGCAAAAAGAATTCGTCTGGTCTTATTCGACTATCGAAAGACTGGCGGTAATGAAGAGTAGGCGGTTGGGAAATATCCTCAGAGAATACGCGCGTTATTGTACCGTGCACGGCGTCCAATACATATTTAAAGACAATTCGAACATAATTGAACGGTTTGATTTTGCCCGTTATTTTCAAAATGTTGTTAGTGTAGCACGCTCGTATACTTATAGAAGGTGTTTTTTTTTTTTTTGCTCCCCCATTCGAATTTTAGATGCGCTTGGTTGTTCATCGTGCTGACCAGTTTCGTCTGCGCCAGCATTCTGGTACACACCATGTGGCTAAAATTCAACTCTTCTCCCACGGTGACCGCGGTTAAAGACACGCATTTGGCACTTTACTCGCTCCCGTTCCCGGCCGTTAACGTATGTCCAATGGATAAGATAAAACGTTCGGTGGCTTATTCTTACGTGACGGCCCGCATAAACGATTCGTATCGGGAAAACGAGATGGACAACTTCCTGAACGTGCTGACGCTATTTCAGCATCCGCTCTACAACAGAATGTTATACTATCTGAACAGTGGAATAGATAATTTTCTAACCAAATTGACCAGTATTAATATTACAGACTTTATGTTAACCGTAAGTATGGTGCACACGAACACGTCCCGAAGACCGCCGGAATTTATATTTGGTTTGAATCAAAGGTGATGCCGACATGTGATGAGGTCTTCAAAGCTTGTTTTTGGATAGGCCACTCTTACAATTGTTGCGAGTTGTTTAGCTTGCAAAGATCCGAGGAAGGTTTTTGTTATTCGTTTAACTCGTTAACGTCGATTAAAAAAAACGACTGGTAAGATTATTAACTCGACGCACTTAATTAAAAAATAAAATAAATACAAACACGTGCTAGTGCACCTAACTACGAAATGTTTAAGCCCTATGTTTAGTACGTTGGAAACTGACATGGATGGAAATCCAAACAATATCAATTGGGAATGCGTATTAAGACGAAATACGGCGGCTGGTTCGACATCAGGATTACAAATATTCTTCAATAATTTTAAAGAATCGGAACGATTGGTAAACGCTTCTTTAATTACCGGCAAACCGGCTGTCAGGGTATGTAAAAATAAATAACGTTTTTGTATGTACATTAAATTTAATTATATGGTATGATAATATTATACGATAAGTTTTTTTCGCGTACTGCGCTTATAATTCAGATATCCCAACTGCTGTGCCGCGAAATTCTTCTGGTGTGCCATGTAATTTTTGTCTTATTGTGTATACTAAATACTCTAAATATACTTTGTATTTTATACTATTTATAATAATCGATAATTATAATTTATATTTATCATAAACATTAACATTGGCTTAGAAATTCCTTGAAAATAAAAATTGACAAAACGTCCAAATGGTTTTGGCAGATTATTTGTTGATATTTCTAATATTGTTAAATTAAATTGAACAAAATCAGGGGGTTGAAAAACAAAATTGTATTTTAGAAATCTTCAACAATTAAAGGTGATTTTTCAAATTTTCAAAACTAACGATAAGAAAATCCAACATTAAAGAACTACGAAAATATATAATTGAAAACCTCATATATTAGGTACTCGAAGAAAAAATGAATCACTATTTTTTAGACGAAATCAGACTGTTTCAGACGAAATCTGCAGATTAGGTCGTGTTACCATTTGGTTTCACTGATAATGTAAATACTTCACTTAACTAATTACGAAAAGAATGAATTCATTGATATGTGTTCCAATTCTACAACCCGAATACTATTCAATAGCCAGAAAGAGAAACATAGATTCCTTCTGGGTAAGTTTATAGTATCTAGCTATTTCTTAGAAAACGATACTATTATTACCATTCTTTATGTAATATCTATATGAACAAGAATTTTCTACTCTGAACAATATTAAAATCAGTAATAGAAATTGTTTGAAAAAATATTGAATCGGACAAGCTTAACACACGCAAGTTGCAACCGAAGCCCGGCGAAAAGTGAGTGGGAGCCGCGGAATCACGGAGCTTTGAAGCTTCTGAGCTGTCTACATCAAACCAACACACCCAACAACGCATTCCACGTATCACCGTTACGTCCTGACAGATCCGGATTGGCTATTGAGAAAATCTCTTTGAGATGGGCATCGTTAGTGCTATGCTGTAGTCAGAGCCCAGGGGGACATGGGCTCCCACGGAACTTTTTATTTTATCAGTTATAACAATTATACAAAATGCATCACTGTTTTCCCAATAATAATATCTCTGTTAGATTAAGTTGACCCTAACCTGTTAATATTAAAATAAAATTTGAACTGGTGGAATAGGTAAATCGTACCCCCGGGTTATCATACCGGGTCTAGTGTGCACCTCGACGCGATCGTTTCACCAACTATTCATTGAGCAACTTTTTTTTCAACGTACGTTGATGTGAATGTGTGATATTCATAGATATGCATATATAGATCTATTAGGGACATTTTATTTTAAATGTACCCCCCCTCTTCTGATTTTTGGATCAAATATAGCTCAGTGGGATTTGGTGATAGGAAAGTGATTTTAACGCCAAAAAATTTGGCTTGGAACTCCACACAAGTCCCCTTCGTAGTTCGATACCATACAATCTTTTTCAATGGAACTAACTCGGAATTTGTCTGATCACCACAAAACTTTGTAAACGGTCCCTAGATCACCTCTAGACTACCCTCACAACATTTTTGTATCGATCTAAAAAAAAAAACATGTAATATGTAAATAATTAGCTATCTATTTTGACATTTTCCAGGTCCAAGTATTTTTCGTAAATGAATATCCGGAATCTGGTATGGGTAGCATCGTTACGGCCGACAATGGTACTAAACTGAGTATCATGGTGAAACCATTTGTGACAATCAGTACGGACGCAATCAGACATCTTCCCGTGGAGGAGAGGTTTTGTTATTTTCCCGACGAAAAACATTTGAGCATGTCGAAATCGTATACTCAAAAGTCGTGCCTCATCGAATGCCGTCTTAACTATTTACACGAAAAATGTCATTGCCGTCCGTATTACTTTAACATGCTCGGTGAGTTTACGCGTAGGTAGGTAAACTAAAACCTATAGGTGCAGGGTGTCCCACGAAGATATGGTTATTGCGATATTTTGAAAAGCATTAATTTTTTTCGGAATCTTTTACTCTAAGCGGAACGAAGAATGTATTAGTTTTAAAATGATGTTTAGTTTATTTTTCTTTTCTATGAAAAACTTTTCTACCAGAAATTTTGCTCCGATTTTCAAGTGTACCGTGTTTTCTAAAAGTAAATTTTAGTGGGGTGGTACTTTAGAAAGGTCATTTTTTAATTTTCCTAGAGGTTTTTCATAAATAACTAGGAAAAACCGGGAAAATTTACGAAATGTACTATTTTCAAATTGTAAATAATATGGCCTTTCAAAACATTTATAGGTAACTGAAATTGGTTCAAAATAGTTTTTTGTTGGCAGTAATTAATCGTTATATACCTAAACATTATATTTCCATTTAATTTCCCAACTTCTCATGTACAACAGTGGCCCACTCATCGTGTGAAGTATGTCCGTTTGTTTTTTTTAAACACTAGTAGCTCTAGAATGTTACATTAGGTAGATTCCATTATATTTGGGGTTGAATCGTCTACCTACTTTTGATTTCCAAATGGAAACCTAGGTATGTTAAAAATTGAATAAATAAATAATAGAGTGTTAGTATTAAACACATTTTGGTGTTGATATTTTTTATTAAGTCAGTTTTTGTTTATAATTTTTTTATTTATTTTTTTTCCGAAATTGTCTTAACTAATTTTTCCCTAAGACCAAATACCTATATATTGTTATTAACATATTTAGTGGGTACTTACCTAACATTCCTAATATTATGTCGACAATTTTCAGATAACCGTATACCGGTCTGTAACTCGACGCAGCTACTGTGCATCGCGAAGCACAACAGTGAATTGCGATTCTTTAGTCCGCCGATCGGGAACATCAGGGGTTTCCTGCTCACTGAGATGAAGTCACCACTCAATTGTTCCCAATGTTTACCGACGTGCCACGAAAGCGTATACGATCTGGACGTCGATTATTCATTAGACTCCCTGCCGTTGACTAGGAACAGTTTCGGATCGGTGGACATTTTCTATAGAAACGAAGGAGCAGTCAAGTACGAGAGGGACGTGACGTTTGGCTGGATCGATCTGTTGGGTACTTAAATGTCTTATTATATAGGTACCATGTAGGTATTTATCTAAAAACAAATTTAAAAAAATTGCTTTAAGTCCTGTTCACACCATACAATATACTCGTATAAATATTATGGTTCATACGATCAAATATTTAATGTTTCTAAAATATTTGAGTTTTGTTAAATATTGGATTACTAGATTGATAACAAATAATTATTATCATCGTAGATGTATCATAATTATCATGATTTTTCATTGCATATAAATAGTTTTTAAATGCATAATGATATGTAATATTTTGGTTATATTTATATTAGTTTAAAAATAATAAAAATAAATAATTTTTTTTTTTAAATCAAATTTGATATAGATACCTATGTATATTTTTTATTTCCAAAAAATATTTTATGTATTACTTTTCTGATTAAAAAATGTCGAAAATACCATTACAAATCAATCATTTAGATAGAAATAATAAAAATTAAAAAACATTTTTTTCTCTTCTAAAAATTGATTTTTTTGTTCATATGTTTTATTTTAAAGGGTATATTTCTACGAAATAATAGTAATAAAATGCATATTTTATAGTACATATTTCTAAGGTTTTTAGAGCATATAAATCCGAGACCTATTTATAATCAATAAACAGAATAAAATATAGATTGCCTACAGACAATGCATGTGTGTAAAAAATAAAGTTCTAAAAGTTATGATAAATTTTTAAGTAAAGATCGTAAATGAAATATGTCGTGTAAAGGAGATTGTGTAGGCATTATTCCCATGAGGCTGTGAAGTGTATATAGTTTTAATACCTCCGAAATCGGTAGTGCAGTAGCACCTATAATATTATGACACATTAAAAAAAAAATATATAGGTATTTACTCCTTTTGCAAATGAATTCATAATTCTGTTGATAGACATTTTTTAATCCTTAGTCCTGTGTACAGGAGGTTCCACAGAGATCTGGCATGTTCAATAACTTTTGTCCTGTTCAATATTTATAAGCTTTTCTGTTTTGTAACAATTATTAAAATTTTCATGTTTTTATTCTTTAACTAAAAACAAAAACATAATTTAAATTTTTTATGTTTAATATTTTTAATTTAGTTAAAATATTTTTTTTACCAAATCCAAGATGGTAATTTTATTCACATTTTTTTTTTTGAAAAAAAAATTATGCTTAGTGTTTCACAAGTCATTAATTTTCTATGGGTTTTTAAAGTTTACAATTTATACCATTGCATTTATTATCACAACTAAATAATATCAATAAATCATAGTTCTTGTAAACGTAAAGATGTTAAAAAAATTAAAAATTCATTAGTTATTTTGGTATTATATTATTCTAGTCAGTTATAATAGCTAAAGTTGTATTTTGATCAATAAATAATAAAAGTGATTGCATTATTCAAATCTTCTGAATATATATTCAGGGTGTCCCACATATATATATAATTTAATATTTTTTTTTTATCATTTAGTGTCATTTGGAGGTATCGCTGGTCTGTTTCTGGGATTCAGTCTGTTAACAATCATTGAGTTTATATACTGGGCTATTAAGCTACTTATATATCAATATAATATGTATTCAGCATCTAGAAACAAGATTTCACCTGGATATTAATACATTAATATTCATTTTTTGTTGCACATTAAATCTTCACAATAAGACACATTGAAATAAAAAAATATGTATACATTGATATATTTATTGATTATTTATATACTATAATATATATATATATATATATAAGGTATAAAACATACAAATAACAACATTACATAATACATTAGACATTTTAGTTAGTCAACTGTAGCACTTACATTTTTTTATTTAATAAAATATATTGTAGAATTGAAAATAAATTAAACAATTATTATTATTTTTAAAACATAACATCTTGTGTTTTAACTTTGCACCTATAAGTGATAACAATATAACAGCAGTCTATTTAAATATATTAACTAAATAAAAATATTTTGTATCAAAAATATAATAATATTATTATAAATAAAGTCTATTCATGTTTAAAAATGTACATAAATGGCGTAACAAATTACTAATACTAAGAGTAGCATAAAGGTATGTTAATACGGTAAACAATTAATTTAACTGAAAAAATATAATTCAATATACCTATATATAATTATAGTTTATATGGCTATGTGTTAATTTGATTCAAAATATAATGAATAAATCACAGGTATCTAATATGAACATATAATGAGTAATGACAATAAAAAATGTTTAATTGTTAAATATAAACATTACTACAAATCGTCATAATAATATATAAAAACAAAAGTATCAGATCTGTAGATTTGTTTTTATGTAAAATAGTCAGCTTTGATCCAAAAAAAAAAAATGTTAATTATTAGGCACAACGGAATACCTTTCAACAAGTACTAAGTTACAATCATCACAAACACGTACAGGTTTTGCAGATGATGGCAACATCATTGTGTTGTCTGAACACAATGCACAGAATATTCCACCGCAGTTTCTACAGTGATGCTATTCATTTTTATCATAAAACCAAACAAAATATTGTTAATAAAATAAAATATATATATTAATAGAAATATTAATGGAAAATAACACAATTGATAAATCTTATCTTACTTTTCTTCTCGTCAGACTAAATTCTTTTTCACATTTTTTACAATTGGCCACCTCTTTATCTTGTTCCCAGTGTGCTTGCGCCAATGTACTATTAGCTGCTTCTTCAAGGTCATTTGATTTCAATATTTCCTTTTTCAACTGACCGGCTAATTCTTCTAGCGCTCGTTCTTGCCCTTGATACTTGTCTTTTAACCTGTGATGTTCCTCTTGTAACAAGACATATTCCTAAAAATACATAACCATAAATTAAAATCAAAAAAAGGTCATAAGCAATTTAAAAAGATTTACATGAGACATTGCTTTGAGTTGAACAATCTCTTCGTCAAGACGAATTGTCTGATTGCCAACTTTAGACAAACGTGCCTCAAGTAGACATTTAGATTGCTGTTCATTAATTAATTCTTCTTTTAATTTTGCTATATTTGTTGTTTGTGCAGCAATTTGATCATGGTATCTAAGAATTGATTCAGACAATTTTTTCTTATCTTCTTCATTTTTTTTTGATCTACAATTAGTAAGGAAATAGGACAGGAAATAAATTGTATTCAACTAATAATGATAAATAAAAATAAAAATAAAAGAAAAAATAATAAATAAATAATAAAAAAATGTTGCGAGCAATATTTTAAATAATTTTTTAAAGTTGTCTTAAAAAAATAATAAAAAAAAATAAATAAAAAAAATAAATAATAAATAACTATGATTTAGGACAATTATGTTGGAATATTATGGAAAATAACATATAAATATGTACTTTATTCAATTAGACAAGTAGTAATTGTTAAGTAGTATTTATTTAACTATAATCAAGTACTAAAAACGGTACAAAGAAAAAAAGTATAAGTACTAAACAAAATGAGTATTGTTTAGTTTACATTAGTCATAGTGAAAGATGAAGTAAATAAGTGGATATAGAATAATATATGTATAAACATTTATATTTTATAAATTAAATGATATTAATAAACTACAACAGAATAATTGTAAATACAAATATCAATAATGTAATAGGAAAAATAGTATAGACGTTAACACATTTAACCAGTCCATAGCTCGCATCATTTTTTTTAAAAATTATTAATTATTGTTATGTAATCAAATTTATGCACCCAAATACATTTAATTGCAAAAAAAAATCCTAAGCGATATTTTGTTTTTCACAAAATTATTTTACCAAAAAAAGCAATCAAAATATTTTGAAAATTAACTTGAACATTGGATATATTTAGATGCATATACTTTTCAAAGGGAAAAGAATATGGAATTAAAAATACATACACTTCTTCAGTTTTTTTCAAAGCCTCCGTTAGTGTTATATTTTTTGATTCCAATTTAGAAACAAACTCTGACTTGTGTTTAAGCGAACTCTCATTCTCCTGTAATTAAATCTTTACTAGTTTATATAAAGAAACGCGAAGAAAATTAACCTAACATTTATAATAATCTTATTCCCCCTAAATTTGGCATTTCAACTAAAAGTATGTATTTCTATTAAATTTAAAGATTATTTGATTGTTCAGGATCAGTTAATGGTTCGGGGCTAGGTGCATTATCCAATAAAACAGGAGTATAAGACTGTCGATGATGCGAACGATCTGGACGAGAAGCCAATCTAGTGTCTGAATTAGAATTTCTCATGCTCGCATTGTTTCTCATTCTTAATTGCTGTGCATCGTGGAACTGTAAATTGCTCAGCAAACAACCAATCTGTTCAGTTTTTTTCTGTAGTCGGGACACCATTTCAGCTTTTCTGGTCAAATCATCTTCACATTCCTGATCAGCACTCAACCCAACATTGTAAATCATATTGTGTAACATTTTAATTAACCAAATTCACCATTATTAACCATAATTAAATATATACAAATATTAGCAAAGAAAAATTATGATAATATATACATTCGGTTTTGTTATATAGTCTCACCTGTAACTTTTTATACATTTCCAAGTTTATTGTTTTGATATCATCTAATTGTTTTCGAAGAGAAACAATATTTTCTTGTTTTTCTCGACTTTCTTTTTCTAAAAGTTTCATTGCAACTTCCATTTCAGCTTTTAAGCTCATCTAAGTAAAAAAATGTAAGTGCATTTTTTTTTTAAATTTCTTAAATCATGAAACATACTTGTAAATGCAGTTCTTTTTCAGCTTCAATTCGTTGTTTTTTTTCATTTTCTGCAAATTGTTTAAGTGCATCTGTATCTCCAGCAGGAATATCAATAATTACAGGTTCTGACTATAAAGTAATAATGATAGCATAGCACTAAATTATAATTTATTATTAAAAATAATTCATTAAAACTAAAAAAATACTTCTTTAGATTCTTCTTGTTTGATTAACTGATTTTTGAGAAATTGATTTTCTTCTTTTAATGTTGCCAAACTGGTTTTAGCCATATCAAGCTCTTCTTTAATTAAAGTATTTGATGTAGTGAGAGTTTCAACTTTCGACTCTAAATTTGCAACTGTTGCCCTGAAAATTATTATGATGGTTATTTGATCAATTTTAATAGTTATAGACATACTTAAGGTGACAATTAAGCTCTTCAATATAATTTTTTTGATCAAGTACTACATTCATATTTTCAGACTCTAGACCTAAAGGGCTATCTGGACAACTGACAGTGCCTTGTAAATGATGATTAGGATGGTGACTAGAACGCAGGTATAATGAAAAATCAATAACACCTTGTTGAGAATCTAAATCTTCTTCCTATAACAAACATAAATGTGAACAAATTGATAAAAAAAATTGCTTAATATTATTAATCTTGCCTTAATACACAAATTGCAATCAATCACATTAAGACCGACCATTAAACCGACAATAACTATTGCTTCGTCACTCATCATTAAAGCATCTGGCTCAAAATAATCAACTAGTTCTTCATCACGATTATCAACTAAAATTTTTAAATAATCAGCTAATTTTTTTTGCATTAAGGCTACTCTCAACCAAGCTCTTGCTCTACCCATTTGAGTTCTGAAAAGGTAAATAGTTTAAAAAAATTCAAATATTACAATTAATTAAATTTACTTGACAGTAGGTAAGTCTCTAATACTATTTGTTAATTCTTTAGCATCCTGTGTTAGCTTTTCAACAATCTGCAATATATCCCACAACTCTTTTTTTGGGCCCAACAGTCCTTTTTTAGGTCGTAAACCATGTCTGAGGACATGTTCTAAGACAATAAAAAAATGTTGTAAAGGTGCATGATCTGAATCTAGCATACGTCCATTTTTCAGCGAATTTTCAATTAGTTCTTTAACAATCAGTTTAGATATGTTGACCAGGTTACGTCTTTCTATCAAAACGGGATCGCGATCTAAATTTAACAATTATAATAATATAATTTTGATATAAAATGTAATATTGGTATCATGGAAAAAAAAAATGATTAGTAAATAAATAAGTCAGTTTAAATACTATAATTAAGTACCCAGTAAAAATGGCAGATCTGGAGAAGTGATACATTGTGGTGGAAAAATATCAGATAACGGATCATCAGTTATTTCACGTAAACATAACCATTCGCCCTCAACGGACACCCGAAAATTACATAAATACAATTCTTGAGAGTACGGGTCCAAGTTTTGCATCCATTTATTTAACATCATGGTTCTTGTTATTAAATAAAACATAATATACTATAAATAAGTAAGGTTTATTCGTGTGTACCAGCATTGTGTTTAAAATGAAAGTCAGAAGTAATAAAATAATAATACTATATTGAAAAAATAACAGAAATAATAACATGCAAACACAAATTTCAGGAACTATAATTCAAATGCAAAATAAATAATACGACAAAAAATACAACAAAAACCTTAATTATCAAGTATAAATAATTAATAACTTAATTGTAATGTAGTATTTATTTGTTAAATTTATACATTAAATAACACATTAAATGAAATATCTAATAGTTAATATAAGTTACTTAGTAACATTAAAGAAGTTCATTAGCATAAATAACAATAGCTACTATCTAACTTATTTTTTTTATTTTTTTTTTTTTTTGCGTATAAAGTTCATTTTATTTAATATAATGAATACAATAGGTAAATAATTCTTTAATATAGAGCTTAATAATATTATTATAATATTGGACTGGTTAACTCGAGAGAATAATAAAAAAGGCATTAAGCATTTCTAGGGGGAAGAGGTGGAGGCAATCTTTGTCTCGGGGGTAACGGTGGTAAAGGAACATTTGATGGTGGTGGATAGTTAGGCATTCCATCAGAGTTTGGGCTTTGATCAGATCTCATGGGTAATGGTGGTCTCATCGGAGCAGGTCTCAGCTTGTCCGTCCATAAAGGTACAATGTTGTTTGTGATTGTTTCTATTTCTTTTTTTATTGCTGACGCCCAATTATTATTATCTTTTGCAGTTAATATTAGAGTATAGTTGTTGATAGAAATTTGTTTTATTTTTAAAGCATTAGCAGCTGAGCGACCATTTTCATATGTAATTTCTGCGTGATCAGTGAAATATCTGACATTTAAAATTTTACCAAAAGAACCTAAACCTTGAAGCATTATACTTTTGAATGTTTCATCATTCAAAGGAAACTCAGTGTTTTCAATATTAACAAAAACCACTCCATCAACAGGTCCGTATTCATTCCATGCTATGTTTAATTCTCGCTCTCGTTTATTTTGATCTACACACAGCATATCAATTTCATAACACGCCATTACAGGTCTGTGATCACTCTCTTTAATTTCAGCACGTCCATAGAATACTTGTTTACCATATGGCCAATTGTTGTTTTCATTACAGTACCAAAGTACACGATCAGTCCAAGCAGGCGTGCGGCACTTATCACTCGAGTCATACTCATCTGATAGTATGTCATATTTATAGGTAGGAGGAAATGTTATAGGTGCTTCAATGAAATGTTCAAATACTTTTTTATCCCTGCATTGAGCCAAAAGTTGATCGTATTTTAAAACTTCCTCCAAGTCTCCATCTAGTACATGATTTATAAGATCCAAGCGATCCATATCAACCCGATAATTAAAATCTCCACACCAGTATACATAATCGTTTGATTGGATTGGTATTTTTAATTTTTTCGTTATTTCATTGAAGTCTGCATTACGATCAGTGACCTGGGATTGCCCAGCAGCAAAGTGAGAGCAAATAAAACAAAGGTTAGTGGCTTCTAATGTGAATCTTATCATTACTGCACCTTTATTACCAGTTGTACCACCCATTCCTGTTTTAACAGAGTCGGTAGTAACATCTTTAATATAAGGTAACAATTCTGGCTTTATAAACAAAAAGAGGCAAACACCGACCAGTTGTGTACTAGTAAGTAGAACATAATCTCGTTTAGAAGACAAAATGTTTTTAAGACTCTTAGTCCACGAATCTGCATTATCTGAACTAGCAGCCATTATATTGCCTGCGTTTAAGTCAACAATTTCTTCAAACCCAATTGCATAAATGTCAGGAAGATTATTATTGTCAGTTAGGAAGAACTCTCTTGATGAATCAAATAAGGAAACTTTATAAGGATCCAAAAGCCATGTCGATAATGATTCTAAGTTATTGGAATCGAAGTTTAAGAAATGTTTACCTCCATTTACATTGTATGTTGCGACAGCAATTCGTAAACTACTTTTGTAAGTATACAATTTGTATTTTTTACACAATTCGTCAACCAAATCTGGATGACATTGCCAGGTATTATACGGTAACAATGATTTAGCTTTTGATGATAAATCGTTGTTTAAAGCGTTTCCTGATAGTAATATATCAAATCCTTCTTGCTTACTCGAATCCAAAAGATTATTTTGAATAGTTCTGGCTGCTGATCGTGCCCCATCTAATAATTTAGAGCCACCTTGTATAGCACCAGTACCTGCGTATATTCTACTTATCTCATTACCGTTATTTACCCAAAGCTGTTGAAAAACTTCTTCAAATCGTGATATTATTTGGTCAGTCTCATTCTGACAGAGAAATTCAAGTTGTTTGGCCAATATATCTAATGCGAAAAACTTTTGAATACAATTAGTACGATCTAAACAATCTGTACAATTTATTCTCATGGAACCTGTTTGATGTTTAACAACGGAATTACCTTTGGCATAAAACAAACCAAATGAATCTAAATATGGATTAACTATATTTTTGAGTTTTTGTAAACTTTTTTCTCCATTACTTTTAAATTCTTGATGATAATCAAATGCAACAAATGGTATGAAAGAAAATGTTGAAGTGGAATGTTTTTGTTCAAATGCATAGCTCAAAGCTGACTCGTTTTCTTTACTATTTGCATTCGCTCCACCCAATAAATTAACAAAAATTATATTACCATAACAATCTTTCAATGACTTAACATGCTTTTCATAAACATCTGCTGAAGATTCTATGCTTCTTGATAATTTTACTTTATGTGCTCCGACATTCATTCCTGGCTGTTCCCAAAACAAAGGTACACTACCTCTAATTTGAACAAAAGAAGTAACTGCATCATCCAAATAGATGACTTGTTCAGTTTCAACAAAATTGGCAACATAGCCATCGTCATTACAACCACGAACATTAAACCTAGTTCCAGCTCTTCTACAACTCAATCTTGATATTATAGCAATCCTAGCTTGCTTGGATCGAGCATAAACAGTTTTTATCTCAATACTGCCACAAATAATTTTCATCAACCATTGAGTGGTGTTAATTCCAAAGCGAATAAAATACACATGCAAATTGCGGTTCCAAAAGAAACGATTATCAGGAACACAGTTATTCCATTGCCTTTGAGCACACAAAGTTAAATCGAAACGAAAATCTTGTGATACAAATCTTGAAAAATAAAAACTACCACTGTTAAGGAGCTTTCGCACTTCAGATGCGTAATCATCACTTTGTTGTTTACGCAATGAAACAAATGTAGTCTGAGTAACTTTGAATATCTCTGCATCAGAAATCTTGCCAACAGATTGACAGCCAGTCACTAATACTAAAAATAGTGCTAATTTATTGTCAATATTTACATTCAAAACACCGAGGCATCCATAGGCATCTACTATTTTCACACATTGTCGTTTGAATGAATCAAATTCACTTCCCGTTGCTGTGCACAGAGTATTGTTCTCAAACAGCAACACATCATCGTGATAACGATTCTCCAGCACAACACAATAATTATGACTGGATGGCTTTTCATAGGCTCTGAAGATTTTGCCGATGATGGATGGTGTCTGTTTGGTAGACATTGTTCACACCTACGAATGACAGTCCTTTTTATGGTTTACTCAAACAAACATAGTGGACAGTTCGGACTAAAAAAAAAGAAAAAAAAAATAATAAAAAAAAAAATAAGCAAGCGATACGCAATATGGTAGTAAACTATATGGGAAATAATGAAGCAGTGTCGCGATAAATTAATTAAAACTTTAAACAAGCATCAAACGAAATAAAAAACAATAAATTGAATAAGCCACAAGCTGGTCACATAAGTAGGTAATTTTTAAATTGACCTGTCAACTTACAGACTTCAATTATTCTTATTATACAATATTATGTACAAATTGTACGATAAAAAAAACGCCTCGAAACACAAGACCGCCCGGACGGTAGGTGTAGGTGGAAAGTATTGATTTCCTGCTCGTACTTAATAGACTGTGCGCGGCGAATGCGATGTTACTATTATTCTGGTGGACTATAATATCGATTTTTGGGTCATGCTCGACAACTATCGATGTTCAAACCGTTAAAAAAAATACTAGTATCGTTCATTAAACGTCATAAGCATACGCGTTTGTTAATTGTAATAACAATAATATAATAAAATAACGTTATCGCGAATAATATAATAGGTAACAATCAACGGTTTGATTATGTCATTGAACGTTCAAATACATTCCAGAACGACCGAAATGCTGCAATAGTTTTAACGTTTTACACTTTGTAAACAAACGATATCGAAAAAACAAAAAAAAAAAAAAAAAAAAAAAAACAACACTATCGATATTATACGGTCACGCGGCGGCGTAGTGAAAACATTACACTGACTCAGCTGATTGTATGTGTGTGTATGACCTATGTGTGTGTGTGTAGGCAATGCGTGCGCGCGCAGACTCACAAAAGAGTGTCACTGAAATTCACTGACACCATCTACTTACCAACTCTCAACTCTGAAGTTGGTAAAAATACTAAATAGTAAATAGAATGTTAAATAAATTATTAACGCGTGTTCCATTTACTAGAAAAATATAATAATAATGATATATTATATTATACCCTACTCGAAAAATACACAAGTACACTTTTCCGTACGTCAATTTATCGCGACCGACGAGTCGAATAAATAAAAATGAATTCAATTTATTTTTAAGTAAAGGACCTTATATTATATCAACGATGGAAATAACAATTTAAAACGGATATTAATAACGCGAAGAACGCGGTGATATTCTTCGAAATTTTTGTATTTTTTTCATTTACGTTTCTCGTACAAGTACCTATAATAATAATATATTTTCCAAACCAAAGAGGATCCGAAGAAGTCTCGTTATATCAATTTTTGTTTTGTTTGCGTAATTTTTTTTTCTCAAAGCGAGAGATACTTTAAAAGAGAAACATACCGAAACCGCAACGAAAAATGGCACAACCAAAGCACTCAAAATCTATCGTTCAGAGTTTACAGTTTCTTATCGGAAATATAATAATAAAAAAAAAAACTATATGGGCACAAGATACAAAATATTTACAACTACCTAAACGTTTTTATTTTATATTGAATAAAAAAATGTAGGTATCTTAATTACCAATTTTTTCACAGTCAACAAAAATATAATAATACCTATAATATATTTTTTTTATATGTATAGACAACGAATATAGGTTATAAAATACATCAAGTATCTACCCACCCACTACCGATTAAGAATATATAATATACCTATCTATAGAAAAAATATGAAAATAATATACAGATAGGAATAACATGATAATATTGAGATTATACTAATCAATAATTTTTAAGTAGGTATGAAGAGAATTTGAATCTTTCAAATGGGTACTTATGAGTATAAAATATGATTCCAAGAAAAAATAATTGAAGAAAAATTTGAAAAAATAATGGTTTTTAAATGGATTAATTTTGAAATACAACAATTGGTAAACAAACTTAAAATAATTCAAAATAAGTCAACAGGAAAATAACATGAAAGTGAGTTTTAAATATAGGTACCTGAAAAATTATGGAAATGGAAATGATATTAGAATACATACTTGGGTGTTGAAGAAATTATTTTTTTAAAAATAAAACTATAAAATATGACTATCCATGTTAAGTGTATAAAATGTGTGGTACTTACAACTATTGTTGGTTTAACAGAACACATATATAATTTTGTATACCTACCTCCTAATAATATATTATATTATCTTCATACTATATATTTTAATTCTACTTACATTTTATTCTATAAATCACTAAACCTGTTCATAAACCATACTTTTATTATATTATATTCTAATTTGATGTACTATATAGGTACTGATTTAATATAATATCTACATTTTACAAAATATTATTTTCATATTAATATAATACACCATTAGGCTCCAGACTTCTTACATAATATCTAAAAGTGTGAACAAGTATTGATTAGATAGTTACGTGTTTTTTAACAAAAGTGGTAGTTAAATTAAATAAATAAAAATAATAATATATTTAATTAATTATTAAAAAGAAATTTAATGAAAAAATAAAAACATTCAACATAATAATAATAAAAAAAATATATAGGTACTCTTAGAATTAAGAATACCAACCCATTTTAAATATCAATTTAAAAACAAATACCTAGCTGCCAAATGACAAACAATACCAACAAAGAAATATTTAATTATTGTTATAACTTATGAAAAGTGTTGTTAAATAATTAAAATTTAAAACCTCCAATAACGTAACTCACAAAAACTAGAAACTTCAAAAGAAAAAAGCAATAATAAATTCAACAATGCATTTAAAATTTCAAAAAACTAATTGAAATACAGTAAAATACTTTTTTTTGAAAATATAATTAACTATTATATCGAATGATCAAGGTTCCGGATTTTTAGCATTTGCTTATTTTTTAAATTGACATTAAATCTGGCAGAGTGCTATGAAAATTGGTGTTATGCTATAACTAACTCAAGTATAAAATTGTAAAGTACTTTTTTCATTAGTTCTTTTTCATATTTTCTATTCTAAGACTACATAAGCAATTGAAAAAAACCAAAAGTATTACTTTATGATATTTAAATAATTTCATATATGTATTAGGTACATTATAAAACTTGTATTTGTTTGATTTTTTTTTTTTTCAATTTTAGATACTTTCATCGTGTTGGTTGATACCGGGCATTTAAAATTACTTCTTTTTCTTATTTCGATAATTTTGAAAAAAAAAAATAACTTTTCACTGGTTTCTTTTGGCTATTTTAAATATTATTTAAATGCTTTTTCTTTTTGTAGATTTCAAATGCAATAAGTTCCAGACTCTACTTATGACAAATGATTAATTTATCTCGTTGATACCACTTCATATTAATAGGTATAAATAATATGAAATATTTTAAATCAATAAATATGTATCTATGAACATAAAAAAACAATGAAAATTGTTAAAAAATACCAAAAATTGCTGTTAAAAGAATTAGGAAAATAAAGAAATCAATAACTTAAAATTTCAAAAAAATTAAAATGAAAGTTTTATAACTTAGTTTAATCTGCACTAAGAATCCTATGTCTTACAATAAGCTAAACATACAACCACAACAAATTCAAAGTCCTAATATTCATTAGTGATGAATAATATGAGTTGTTGATTTATATTATTATAAATCTATAAATTTATATTATTATATTATTTATTAAAAATAAATATTGCAACAAAACATATGTAAGATTTGTTGTAGAGTAATTAGATTTCTTATCATTGTAACATTGAACTAATTTAATTAAATTTTTTAATGCCATAATGCACAAGATATTTTTGCAAACTGTGTTACAAGGTATGTCAGATTCACTGTATTCAGGTATGATTATCGGTAACAGTGAAAAAATGATTAACGTCATAAATACAAATCCTTATAACGTATCATTATAATTTAATATTTTGGTTATTTCTGTTTTTTACATAATATTACAATGGTATTTTACTTGGTATACAAATTATGTATTCTGGACATTGGCACTTTGCGTTTAAAAAAGTTTAAATCGGCTTATCAATATTATTACGCCCACTTTCGTTGTCATTGAACAATAATTATTATCTGTCTAACAGTCTACATAGTCAGCTCAGTCAATATATAATTTACACATATGCATTATTATTTATTACTATGAAATACCCAATATAAAAAACTTATTCTAATATACATTAATATTATCTATATATTCTAATATTATATTATACACACCTATGTCAATAATATTTGCATTGCCATACCACATTTTCAACAATATTTCAGAACTTATTAATATTGACAGATCGATTCCCAAATGGGTCCAAATTTTTTAACTGTTTGGAGATTTAAGTGAGAAGTCATTTCCCTTAAATTATTTTATTGAACTCACAGTAGGCAGTTTACTAATATTTTTCAACTAAACCTACTTAATTGTATCTAACTAGAAAATTTATTTTATAAATCTTTAGCAATCAGTGTTTGAAAATATTTCTTTCAATATGTAACATAATTTTAAAAATAATAGGTATGGTAAAGTAGATGAAATGGTCTTAGTATTCAAAATAGATTTAAAACTTTGTCACTAGAGTAGTTTTTTACTTATGAAACCAAAACTGGTTTGGTTAGTTTTAGGTCACCAACAATCAGCAAGCTGTGATATTAATCAACTAAAACAAAATACGAATTTCTTATACCGTTGAATGTCAAGAAAATTACCAAAGTAGAATTTATGGAAATAAAACATTTAGACTTTGGTTACAAAAATGTTATCAACGAATATTTGAAAGTACACAATATAAGAGCTTTAACAAAGTAATAGAAAGTGAATTACTTCACCAAAAATGCCAAATTTTTCTTAGAAACTAATCACATAATATACCTATAACAATCTCAAATACGAATACATTAATGCTTGTGAATAAGAGTCATTTTTTTAACGTTCTGTATAATTATGAAAAACCGGGAAAAATATAGGAAATACAGCAGTGTATGGCATTTCGGTATTTTATTGTTCTTCAGTCGAAAATTATTTTAGAGATCTATAGTTTTCACAAAAAATGTATACCTATTGAACTTTTTGAAAATGTTTAAAACATTCAATTTAATCTATCATTCTACCTATTCTAGATAATTGATATTTTCGTGTTTTTATGTTTATTTTTATTTGGTAGGTATACCTGGTTTATCTGTTATTCAAATTATACAATTAAAGAAAAATGCTTGGAAATTTAACACATGATACATTAAAAGTTGTACTTAGTGACTTAAAAAAAAAATTTGAGTTAATATATTAGCTTTGTAATTATAATCATTTTAAGATCAAATTTCGACGAAAAACCTTGAAAATTACGGCATTTCATGTCTTAAGAAACTTTGCTGCAAATCGTTTTTTGTTAGTAATGGTTTATCTTTGCATACAGATATACACTAAGTTACTTTATGTATCCTACCTTCCTAACTTCCCACTTACAACAGTGGTGCACCCGTCTCCATTATCAGCTATTTTTGGTTAATTTTTACAATATCCTTATAGTAGTTTATTTAATCATTTAATGTAATATATTTATGCAAGAAGATTCAAAATATTTAATATGGAATATAATATCTTACAAAAATAATAATTACCCGGATATTTAGTTCTGATTTTGTTCATAACTATTGCGTGTTATAAAACTTAACTATTAATATTGCTTCATGTTCAAGTTTAAATTGGATAATGGATATGTATGACTTTTCAGAGCTTTTAACTCAAATTTCCAAAAATCATTCAAATTCACTTTTAGATATTCAAGTAGAATACAATTAATTTTATTTTGAAATACTGTACAAATTAATGTAAGCATATTTTTCATAAAATTGATGCTAAGATATATCCAACTGACTAAGGTCAGGTTTGACATGTATAAAGATATAATAGACTTAATGATGATTGATATACATTATACATTATACACATTGTTCTACCCTTTAAATAATATATTATTATAGTATTTTCATTAGTTAAGATCATACGAAAATAATAATAATAGACAGAGATTACTTTATATTCAGTTTTGTTGGATTATTGCCGAATTTAGTTAACTTGATTGCAAACCAAATATAGGTATACTTAATTGTGTCCTAACATATGCTGGTTCACAAACTCACTTATGAATATCATAAACAATTAGTTACTAAATTAATTATAATAGTAAATTCTGAGTGAAACATGTCTTGATTAACTATATGTTTTAATTTATGTAAAAACAACTTTTCTACTACAAATTTTGTTCAACAACTTTATAAGAACTTTTTTATAGCATTTTTGATCTAATTGGTGCATTAGGTGGTCATTTCATTTATAGTTTTCTAAACAAATGGAAAAAGCTAGTTAATAAATAACAATTATTCATATTATTTATGTTGATTTTTAGTTTACCTTGGTAACAAGATAAAAATACAATTAATAATACTTTACTTAAAATCATTTTTTGTTAGTGATGGTTTATAGCATTAATTAAATTGGGTTTTTACATATGTTAGATTTCAAAATTTCTCGATTTCCAAAATATTTATATTTTTTTTTTTGATATACTACATAATATTATAAAAACATTTTTTTTTTTTTTATGACTTATCTATTGAGTATAGTTATTTACACTGTTACTATTACATTAACAAAGCTTTTAAATAATGAACATTTTTCTTATCTTATCATAATAAGAAATTTGTATTTCAATTAATAAAGTATTTGCAATACATAGGGGTTGCTATAGAATACTTAGCAATACGCCTATACCCGTAAAAACTACCTAAAATTGCCTTATATATAGATGTTTTAAAATCAATACAAATTACATGAGGCTTAAAATCTATTTGATTGGTTGTCTAAATCTTTTCATTGCACTTAAATCAAATTGAATAATCATTATTAATTATATTTGTATTGTAAAAAATTGATAAAAGTATTTAGCACAACACCAAAATGTCCCAGTGACAAAAATTAGAAAAATAAATATTAAATTATGTTAATATTTGTTTTACAGCAAAATGGTACATAAAATCCATAATATTATGATTAATTAATAAAAATTGTTCACCTTCAATTATTTCGACATCAACACACCTTAAAAGGTCATGTACTTCATGTATATTGGTTGGTTTAGATGAAATCATTTTTTTACGGGCATTAGAAATTCCTCTTCGAATACAGCTCATATCTGATTCAGTTAAATTTTCAACTCCTGTTAATATATGTACCTATTAGCTATATATAGTACACAATTTAATCTATATAAAATTACCAAGTATATTTGTAACAATTAACTTACCACTTTCTTTAAATGCCTGGATTAATTTTGATGGTTTTTCACAAATATTTTCAGTAGCCATTCGTTTGATACCATTACATATTTTTTGTCGTTTCAATATAGGTTCAGTATCAGCTTCATGATTATGATCATGAACCTCACATTTACTTTCTTTTATTAAAATTTCTTTGTTATAACGTTTAAAAAAACTTTTACAATATTTTTTTGAACAACACCACTTTTCAACGTTATTTGCTAGCTTTTTATGAAAGCGAAATTTAAAATTAAATATTACTAATATTGGTTTATCTTTTTCACTAAACATTTCGAATACTTCCATTTTCAATTAAATTTAGAATATACAAAACACTATAAACTAAACAATTTAAGCGAAACAATTGACACAAAGTTGTTATAATATCCCATCTAAATTCGAATTATGCCATATATTTAGGCCAACATGGTTTAACGTAACAGTAACTTCATCGACCAGTTTAAACAGTAGCTACAATACACAACACTATAGTAAATTAATAATAATCTTGGGATCAGTTTTATCTCTTTTCAATGTGATCACTTTCAAATAATAATTAATAATTAAATAATTTTAAAATTGAATACGTCCTTATCACGATTTAATAAAATATCAGATAATACATTTGTATCTCCTTTATTATCTTTCATGCAAAGGACGCAATCGGGAAGCCGTAGACGCGGTACCACAGATATATTGTTGTTTTATGTATCTGTGCGTGGTACACATGTTATATTCTGTGATACAGTTAAGTTGTTCGAAAATGATAAGAACCGTTTTCGGTTTTCAGTATTTTCACTGTTTTCAGTAACGACAGCAATGCACCAACGCAGCCCGATGTCATGTAAACATACTGAACGTCTGCACACGAAATAAAATCCTACCAGTAGGCGTCGAACCTATATATTAGGTGTGGCAGTTGCCACACCTAATTTAATGTATGGGTATATACCCTAGCATCGGTAGTTTAGTATAAAACATTGTATACTTTACAATCAATATAAAGAGCAGAAGACTCAATATTACAAATAATGCGAACGTCTATTCCTAGACTGCCGTAGTGTGTACTATGCGATTCCACTAGAAAAAGCAGACAACTATTTGACTATAACTGGAGCTATTTAATTAATAGTTTTATAATAAATAAACAATATTGTATTTAATAAATTTCGAAATCTACAACAGCTAATTCATGTTGTACGCAGGCTATACAGAGTGAAAACAAATACACAATAGTATTGTTATTATTTAACTATTTTTGGTTATATTTGAGAAAATACATTTTTGTAGTAAAAAAATAGTATAGTTTTCTATAAATTTAAAAATATAAAAAAAGGATGATAATGAGGACGGGTGCAGTCACTGTTGTAGGTGGGTAGTTGGGAAGGTAGAATATAGATGGGAATTTAATGTAACAAAAATTTTTAACAAAAAAACGATTCGGTTATAGATGTTTTGAAAGACCGTAGGTAATATTTACGATTTTCTTCAAAATTTGATATTAAAATTCCTATATAAAAAAAAATACTACATATTAAACTCGACTATTGTTTGTTGGCAACTTATATGGTATATTGTATAGTCAGTGGTCGAGGTAGCTCAAAATAACTGGAGGGATGCATCAACTTTTATACTATAATTATATTATGGCTTATACACATGGGAGTGATTAGAGGTGGAGATGAGTTGAACCCCTATGGCCTTGTACATTATTTTTATAATACAATTGTATATATATACTATACATTTTTGTTTTTCAGTTTGGTGTTTTATTTGTTGATAAATTTAAATTTGTAAATACACCTAATTACATTTTTATTTAAAACGTAAAACATATTTATATAAATATATAATTAATGTACACACAGTTTATCAATAGATTCTAACATTTTTATTTAAAACGTAAAACATATTTATATAAATATATAATTAATGTACACACAGTTTATCAATAGATTCTAACAGTATACATTATATCATTATACTGTCATTATAAAAACAAATAAAATTTTTTAACTATTTATACATTAATCATAATTTTTAGTGATAATCTGTTAGGGTATTAAGTTTAATACCATGTAGATTTAGGTGGGTCGTGGGTATAAATTAATGCTTATTATCATGCATACAAAAATTAGTTTAACACCAATATCTACTTACATGATTTGTACACAAAATCAGGGTTTATTTTTGATTAATTTCATCTAGACCTAAAGCCCCAAAATCTAATACATTTTACATTTAAATATAGTATTTCAAATTTTAATTACTTAAAATATTACAAATTTAAAATAAATGATAGTTACAGAAATAACGCTTTCTGTCGGTGTATGTATCATTATAATTTCTAATTATTGTACAGAACCCCAACTAGGACATGAAAAGGTTTACTCAATGGTACACAATCATGTGATACTATTTCATTATAAATCATGATGGCATGCAAACATAAAAATTATTTTATTTATAAAGGACTAAAAAAATGAAAATTAATACTCATTAGAAATTTCTTTAATAGCTTAAAATAAGTATATTACTGAAAAATAACTTTATCATAGACTATAGTTGATTTTTAAATTTAAAAAACAATTTAAAATAATTGTTATAAATGAAAAATTTAATTTCTAAACTACATTTTATTAAATTTGTTTAAAATTTTAATAGCTCTTAATAAGGTATACCTAGGCACAAATAATTTAATAGAAATTAATATAGATGTTTTATTAGTTCCTTTCAACTTTTCACTATAGTATATTTTGACTGTCAGATATTTGATCAGACTATGTATCCATGGCATTAATACTTTTTAACTATTTTACCACAGGATAAATTTGTTAGATAAATAACAAACTACGTACTTAAAGGTATGCCTAAAAAATTATTAAAGTAGTGCAATAATTTTTTTTTCCGATGAATAATAACATGTAACCTAAACATTTATTAAAGACTAAGTAGAGATAACTGATTAATAAATTATGACTATAATTAACAAAATATATATTTAGTTTTTCTATTGAAAACCATTGAGAAATTAATACTGATAAATCTAAAAATTGAATAACATTATAACTTTTAAACAAAATGTGTGCATCCTATTTTGATTAAAACATTATTTTAGTACTAATAAATAGGTAAATACATAATGGGTATTCCATGTTTTCTTTAAAATTGTCAACTGAATTGAAATATTTTAAAAATGTGGTTTTAATTTACTAAAGAGAGGCGAATGGTTCGGTTATCAGTAAAATAATAGTGATACAAAATCTTTAATTAATTTTCTAAGAGGATATTGAAAATGTGTGTGACTTACGTTTAGGTAATTTTCGTTCTGGTTTTGTTTTTCTTGAAGACGAAAAAAATATAGGCCATCTATCAATGGAGGTTAACGACGGAGATCGAGAAAAACTTTTAATGCCACTGTCAAATGAATCCGAATTTTCCATGACGGCAGACAAACCGTCAACACTAGCGTTATTCATTATTTTTTTTCACGACAATTAAAGATTAAAAATCAAAATTACCTATCTTTTTTCTATGAATCAAGTGTAGTTCCAGTGGCTAATTACGTTTAACAATAATAATAAACTATTGATAAGAACTTTGTTTTTATTATCATAAGCAAAATGTTTAAGGTTTTTGAGACTGACCACAAACAATGAATAGCTTACCGTTTTGACCATTAAATATATTATTTTATAATCATAAATTGACCCAAATGGGAAAAATAATTGTAGTTAAAGGATAATTATGCATAAAACATAATTTTTGCCATGATTTTATGATTTTTTTTTTCTTCGGCTTTCATAATTTATATTTTTATTTAAAATATTATTTTACTCAACAAATTTAAAATTATAATTTGATAGGTATTGTTCATTGACTTATAATATGAGATTATAAGTCTATTATATTATAAGTCTAGTATTGTTATTATGATTTATGATAATAAAATAAAGATATTGGCCTCGGGTCAGAAAAGTTCTAGGAAAGTTGATAACTGTAAAAATTATGTTCTATATAATTCACGATTCGACTGCACTGGATAGTTTTCTGGGCAATATAACCCGCCCACATTAGGTGCAACAGTGCAGTCTAAGGTTTATAGATAATACTCTTATTAGATTATATAGATTATAGATAATAAAATATATAGGTTTATAGATAAAAATAGTATTATCTATAAATCTCGGGTGCAGTCAGTTGAAATACGTTATCAGTTTAATCCCCTTTTATCTAAACCATAGAGTACTCTCCTCTGATCTGACCTAATGTGACAATAATTCTTATAGAAGTGGACTTCTACCTATGCATTTATTTATCATCTATGACAATTTATGTTCTTATTTTTATCCATTCGTGTCCACTATCCAGTTTTCAGTCCAGTTCTTTTTAGTCCGTGGTGTGTATTGCTACTTCGTGAGTTTATATTCTGTAGACAAGTGTAAATTGATTACTTAGTGATAAACAAAAATTATCGTATTATACTATTAAAATATTCTTGTGCATTAACGTTGATGTAAATCATTGAATTCAAATTTTATATATGTAGCTTGTACATATATTTAAACATAAAAAATGGCTAGTATCAAAATTGCAATACTGGGATTTTTCGCTCAATTTATATTATTACTCTCTATTTTTGACATTTATTTCAAATCACCAATTATTACTGGTATACCAGACCAACAAATTGATTATGAACCACCGGCTGATCGTTTAGTACTGTTTGTTGGGGATGGTTTACGTGCTGATTCGTTTTACGATTACGTCGATGGAGATAGTATATATTTTAAGTATGGCACTAAATTTAGACCATTATTTTTTTAATACAATTTAGGTAAAATATAATAGTTTATACCTATTATAATTTATAGGAATTTATTGAAAACCAGCGCAACATATGGTATTTGTCACACTCGTGTGCCTACAGAGTCACGTCCTGGACACATAGCTCTTATAGCTGGGTTTTATGAAGATCCTTCTGCTATTTTTAAAGTAATAATAATTTTAATTTTATTCATAATAACTTCATTTAGGTATAAATAGTAAACTGTTATTAATATAGTTTGAATTTTATTAAATTTAAGTACCTACCTACTCACAGAAAAAGTATTTAAAATAATATAAAATTAACTTACTTATGGTTTAAATTTTTTTTGTATATTATGTATTTATTAATTGTTTTAGGGGTGGAAAGAAAATACTGTTGAATTTGATTCAGTTTTTAACAAAAGTGATACGACAATATCTTGGGGTAGTCCTGATATTGTCTCTATGTTCAAAAGGGGTAATTATAACTTAAAGCTACTCTTCATTATACATATTTTTCATATTGAATACCTATATGAAACCTTCCAGGAGCTAAAACAGGAAATGTGCACACATATACCTATGGGATTGACTTACAAGATTTTAGTGGCAAGAATGGTTCTAGCTTTATCTTGTCAGAATGGGTGTTTAACAAAGTCAAATTGTTCTTTGAAGAGTCAAAACATAATGAAACGATTCGAATGAAGTTAATGAAAAATAAACTAATATTATTTTTACATCTTTTAGGTACAGATGTTTCCGGACATATTGATAAACCAAAATCAAAGTAAATCACTAAATATTTTAATTATTGGTCGGTGACTAATGAATATTTTTTAAAACTATTTCATTTAGAGAATATTTAGAAAACATAATATCTATTGAAAAAGGTATTAAAGAAATTGAACAGTTAATAGAATCATTCTACAATGATAACCGTACTGCATATATTTTTACGTCCGACCATGGAATGACAGACTGGGGTAAAATGTTTGATTATAATTATTGTTGTGAGAAAACTATCCTATTAAAGTTAATTTTGATGATAGGATCTCATGGAGATGGTTCAGATAGTGAAACTGAAGTGCCTATAGTTACCTGGGGTGCTGGGTTATCATACGCCAAGAAACATTTGACTTCTTTGCCAGTGAATATTAAACAAGCTGATGTTGCACCACTGATGGCTACTTTAATTGGTGTACCTACACCTGTTCATTCAGTAGTGTGTATTAAATTTAAAGTTAAATAATTTATATTAGTTTTAATATTTTATAATTCATTAGGGTGTTGTACCATTAAATTTATTCAATACTAATATTACGGAACAAGTCAAATACATTTTGGCCAATGCTCTTCAAGTTAATGCTGCTTTTTCAACAGCACGTGAAAAAATTGAGCAGCAATCATTTCGATTGTTTTATGTACCTTATGAACAACTCAGTCCTGATATTCAAAATGAATATATTCAAAATATTACAACACTAACAAAAGAATTAAAATCCGACGAATGTGTAAATTATGTTATTTAGTATGACTTGTTACTACTGATAATAATTATTACTTTTGTCATAAATTAAATCTTTTATAGGTAAAATTGTGTTATGAATGGATACATTTGAGTTTAAATGGAATTGAATATTATAACACATACTACAAATTTCCATTGCTTTTCTGTGTAACATTTATTGACCTTGGTTGGATTACTTTACTGATAACTGAAACAAGTTCTTTAAAAAGTATTAAAAGAATTAACAAGTTTTACAAGTTGTTAATAAATGTTTCTTTTTTAATACTGGCACTATCTGCATTTGTTTTTATTAATGGTGACTATTTGTCTAATTAATTGAATATTATAATTAAACTAATAAATTGTAGATAAATGAATCTTATTACAGCACAGTCTCTTCCATTACAGTTTCATGTGTATACATTAATGCCATTAATACTTTGGCGGATTTGCATTACCAGAATTTTACCACATTTTAATTTGTTCAATATAAAACAATTTATGTTACATGTTAAAGGATCAGAATTGTTGGAATTATTATTCTATTGCATTGGAATTGAACTACTGGTAATAAATATATTCATTGTTTTTTCATACGTTTTTAAAAAATTCTAAATCTACATTGCTTGCTTTAATAACAGGTATGGACATTTTTTGAACGTTGTGTACTAAGTTTTGCTTTAGCATTAATGTGCTTATGGATGACTTACTTCTCATTAAAAAAAGGATTTATGTATAAACAAGTTATAATAGTATTTTTCTCTTCTGCATGGTTTGCTTATTTTCCAATGGTATTGATTATTGATGGCCATACAAATATAATAAATGTGTAAATAATATTTATAGTTAATACATCTTTTTTATGAGTGTTTAATATAAAATGTGTACACTAGAGTATTAGGTGGAACTGTTTGGCTGGCGGCAGGACTAATGCATTGCAAAAATTTAAAAGGAATACATAACATTACTACATTTTTACAAGTAGTATTATTGGCTATGGCTATTATAAATGTAACAATTGTGTCAAATAGTATAGACAACAAAGAAGGATTATCATCAATAAACCAAATAATTTCTTGGACAATTTCAAGTAATTAATTAAATAATTTGTGATTTATGTTATATAGTTATTAAATTTTATAATATAATATTTATTATTATTAATACTTTATAGTTTTGTCAATGTTTTTAATAAGAAAATCATCAAATCTCTTATCCAACATCACAACAGTATTTTTATCAATCAGTACTCCATTTGTTCAGCTATCATTAAACATGGAAGTTGTATTTATGCTTGTGCTTGTAGTAACTTTAGCGTGTTGGAGAAAAATAGTTACTCAGTCTTCTGATTCCAGTCAATCTTTATGGACTCAATGGAGACACGCATTCTTTTTTGTAAGCAAAGTTAATATTTATTATTTTTTGAATGTTATGGTTAAATAATTCAAATATAATAATGGTAAATTTTTAACTTGGTTAATATATTAAGCTATTTTTAGGTTACATAAATATAAAATTAAAAATAAGAGCTGATACTTTAGACGTTGTGCCACTGTTGCAGTTTTGAAGGAAGTTAAGAAGATAGGATAATTTATATCTATAAGCAATGAAAAACCATTCAGAGTGAAATTTAATTGTACATCAAAATATTTACGATTTTTTCAACATTTAATTACACATTTACAATGTGATTAATTATTTGTATTATGTGCAACACAAACCATAGCTAGTATAGCGATAAAATACATCAATTATGTATAAAGAGTGGAAATGCCAAAAATATCATTATCTTTATCAGAACCTTTTACGATACACATCTTGAAAATGTAATTGTTTTGTTGTAGTCAATGTTTATAATAATAATATTTTTGAAATGTACATTTTTGTATTAATTCAATGAATTCTTTTTGGACTACATAAAAATAGGTTAAGTATGGCTGTATTAAAGGGTTTGAAGTGGTGATTTTCTTTCTTTGTCTTACATACGTGCTACATAGAAATTTAGATGTGGTCTATTTCCAATGACCAAGTGACCTTAGTGAAGCAATCAGAATTCTAAAAACAGAATTTGTTGTTAGGTCTACTTAAAATTGAATTTTCCTCTTGATTTTTGATATTAATTTCTCCAAAAATTAAAATATTTTATTTTTTGATTACTCTTTTTTCAGGATTTATGGGGATAAAATTTAAAAAAGTGGAAAAGACGATTTTAAGTAGATTTGACTATAAATTCAAATTTGCTTTCAGAATTCTTATCGCTTTACTAGACTAATTAGTACAGTAGAAATAAAACGAGTCTAAATTCCTATGTTGCACGTTTGTAAGAAAAAGACAGAAAATCATTACTTCCAATCTCCTTAAACACAATTGTTTGAACATATAATTTGAAGTACATTATACGTGATAAATTATAATAACTTTGTTATTTATTATAAGTTTAACTTAGTGATCATAAAAAAAGTTTGAGCATTAGGTATGTATACCAATTTTAATTGAATAATGGTTTATTATTATTTTTTTTTTTATATATAAGTGTATAAGTTTGTGTGTATACATATTTTAACATTGACAAAATCTTAAAAATTACAGCATTTCAAAACATAACCGAACTTTGTGTTTAATCATTTTGCTAGTAATGGTTTATTATTATCAGATTTAAATTAAATAACTATATGTATCTGACATTTCTAACTTACCACCTACAACAGTAGCACATCTGTCCCATATCAGCTATTTTTATTTTATATTTATGTAACCTGAAAAGATGTCTTAGGCCGATAGGGCTTAGTAACTACCTAATTAGTAGTTACCTTATTATGTTATTGTACTTTTAGGCTTTAAATTAATCATTATACAATTTTTTAATAAACTGAAATGTATTTATAGTTGTTGTTTAGCTTTGGTTCTTTTTTCGGCATTGGAAATATTGCATCTATTAATTCATTTGATCCATCAATTGGAAGGTGTTTTGTCTCAGTGTTTTCTCCATTCACTATCATGGGATTGGTTCTGTTCAAAATACTTGTCCCCATATTATTGACTTGTTGTACATTTTACCTCACCAGTATTAAATTGAAGGTTGGTTTTATTATTATTTAATTCCTTAATTATTAATTAAATAATAAAGTAAAAAAAAATTATTAAAATAGTATGATTAATATATAAATAAAAAATGTATACATAAAAAAAAAAATTAATGAATTAATGAATCGCCTAGAGTATTATGATAGTACACTTATCATAATTTTCCAGGCAACACAATTATTTATTCCTTAATTATTATTTAATATACATTTTGTTTCATTTCAGATACCTACAAGCAATGTTTTTGCTTTGATGTTGGCCATGTCCAACTTGATGGGACTTCATTTTCTATTTCTTATAAAAAATACTGGCAGCTGGTTAGATATTGGGATGTCAATATCTCATTATGTTATAGTTCAGTCTCTTGCACTATTTTTATCGCTGATGTATGGACTGGCAGGATTATTGATTGGTACTGAACAAAATTATTCAATATACCATTATACACAATTGTTACCTGTTACCAGTAAAAAATCACCTTGAATAAAAAAGTTGATTTTTTTTTAAAAAATATTATTATTACCAAAATAATAATATATTTAATTATTTGTATGTTAATTGTATAAAGTTGGCTGATATTTTTAATTTCTTTGTGGTTATGAAATTATTTATTAAAAAAAAAAAAAAACCCATACTCCAATATATTGGTAAATAATTTAGCCTAGATCTATCTGCGTGTATGCTTTATTTCATGTAAACTATGCTCTTTAGGTTGAAATAAGACTTTAAACACAAGTAACAAAATTTAATGAGAATTTATTCGATGGTACCTAACTTTAAAAAAAATGCATATGAAAATGTTACAACCATGTTAGATTTTTTGCATCTTTAATAGTTTTAAATTTTGTTATTTTTGATTAAACCCATACAATTTTAATCTAAACACCATAATTAATGTTCTAAGTAATGTAATTTTGTTAGTATGATGAAGACGAGAAAATGCGAGTATGATATCATATTAACCATGCAAAATAAATAGGCATGTCAGCAACTTTGTGTTACACACAAAATGACGTATATTGTTTTATTTATTATTAGCTTGCGCCATACAATATATATAAAAATAATAATATCAACTTAACAATTTAATTTAATGCGAACTTTGAGCATGTTTGCTTGAACTTAATTTTTTGAAATCTGGCTCCACACATGACAAATAACCCGTAAGTCTGAACTTACAGACAGTTTATTACGATACTTATTTTTTATGAATGAGTACGTAGAAAAGGCCCTTTCCACCATGGTGGCACAACCACAATGGTAGCAGAACATTGAATGCCTTTTATGATAGCTCAGGATATTCTTCTTTCACATCAACCCAAAACGCGATAATAGATTTCTTTTCAAATGATATCTCAAGAATCGGTTTTCAGTTCTATTAGTTTTTCTTTTTCTTGTACTAGTAAAACTGCAGATTTGAAATAGTTTTCACTAAAAGGAAATGCGATACAGTGGTCTTCTTTTCCATATTTGGGAAAGTATTTTTCAAAAGCTGCTATGAGCATTCAAATGTTGAATAACTTGTATTTTGATGTCATGAGATAGGATCATATCAGTTTCACAGAGGAAATCGTGTAGTGTTTCAAAAACTTGTGGTTGATTATTCTCAATACACTGCTTCCAAAACTAACTTTTTAACAAAAGATTCTACTTTGTCAGTGACTTGAAATGTTGTCAGTGCACTGTTTTAAAGAGTCAAATATAGAATGTTTAATTTCAAAAAAACATCGGCCAAATATGCAAGTTTTTGAGTCCACTTTTTCCGCTATTATTCAATTTTTTTCGCGTACCCCTTGATATTATGTCACGTACCCCAGTTTGAGAACCGCTGGTGTAGATTATAGATGCTAAAAGCATAAGTCTATAGCCAGTAGCCATGTTCGCGCGGAATCTGTTGTTAACTATGATATTGCTATCATGCCTATTTATTTTGTCATGCTCTATTAATTTCTTTTAGAATTTTTTTTTGGTCAATTTAAAAAACAAGTAGTTTTAAAATGTTAGATTTCCATTAATTTATTACCCTTGTGAGTGAAACACCATATATTAAAAAAGCTAAAAATATTAAATATTAGTTTAAAATCGACTAATAACTGTAGTTTAAATACTTTTATGATTACTGTCTACTTATTGACTATAGATATTCTACTTTAAAATTTGGGTAAGAGGAGAGTAATGGAATATTATTTGTTTGTAAAATTATACTTTTTAGATTCTGATTGGATCGAAGAAGCTTATGGTTTTACAAAGATTTATATATATTTTCTTTGTGAAGAATTTTTCTACCAATAACTTTGCTCCAACTTTGATGATAGCAATTTTTCTAAAAGGAAATTTCACTAAGGAGGACTTTAGAGAGGTCGTTTTTTGATTTTCCCCAGAGTTTTCTTAGCAAATTTTAAAAACTGCAATATTAAATAAATATTATTAAAGAAAATATATTGAGCCTATTTAATTATTTTGCTATATTATGGCATATACATTGTTGATAAAGCGTCACTATCAACTGAACTCAAAATCGTTTTTTCACAAGCAATGGTTTATCGTTGCTTACAAGTATACATCAAATTACCTATACCAGTGGCTGCACCCATCCCCATTTTCCTAGGACGTCTTTTTTAATCTTTATTAAACAAATTTCCGTCTGTATTTTTAATACATATTATTTAAATCTAATTTATAATGTTTATTATTTTAATATTTAATATAATATATAAGCACCTTGATTTTACCTCATATTCCAAGTACCTAATTTAAATAGGTAATAATCTTAGGATGTTTTTTACCTAATTCGGATTTTATACCCCTCTGGAGCCCTCAAACTTACTTTCAGTTTTTTAGTAAATTTGGTTATGCGCCCTTTTCCTCTTGTGAATAATTTCTATATTCGTCCCTGCTTGTATATATTATCTTTCTAACTACTTACAGTACCTACCGTAAGTAGGTAGACCTTACGCGTCTCGTAAGTAGTATCAACTTTTAAAAATTAATAGTATTATTTTCTAATACATTTTTACGAAGACCGACTAAAACTGACTAGACATATAGGTATAATATAGGCTTAAATATTATTATTCAATAATAGTAGATATCTACTCGAAAATGGGATTCTTTTCGGCATTAAACTTAGGGTTGATAAAAAAAAAAAAGTACAAAAAGTAAAAAATAGCTGTCCTAGGAAAATGTGGACGGGTGCAGCCACTGTTGTTGGTGAAAAGTTGGGCAGATAGAATATAGAGGGAAAATTAATTTTTATCTGTAAGTAACGATAAACCATTGCTAAAAACGATTCTGAGCGAAGTTTAATTGATAGTGATACTTTTTGAAAAATATAATCTTTGTCATATTGTGGTAAATTAATTAAATAGGCATTATATATTTTCATTAATGAAATTTGTTTAATATTGTACTGGTTTTCCCGGTTTTTCACATTTGCTAAGAAAGTTCTTGGAAAAATAGAAAAATTACCTCCTTAAAGTACCACATTGATTTTCTTTCAGAAAAGATGCTACAATTAAAAATCTGAGCAAGATCTCAGCTAGAAAAGTTGTCCTTCAGGAAAAATAAATATAACCGTAAGGTTCTTCGTTCCATTCAGAATCTAAAATAAATATGAATTTAAATTATTTAAACAAATGCAGACTAATTATCTCAACCTTACTATAATTAATAAAAATCATTGTTTGTAAATGAGAATATAGGTAATAATATAATACATTTGAATTATACAGAAAAAAAAATAGTTAAATACACTTTTCTATAAATCGCGTGATAATTATAATATAATAAATCACTGTTGAATAATCGTTAATATTATTATTTTTATTAATTTATAATATGATTTGTATAGACTTAAAATTATTATTTTCTTTTACAATTGAAAATTGTACAAAAAGGGAAAAGTTGATTTTTTTTTGCGCGTTATATGCCCGAAAACCATACAACTAGAAATAAGTTTAAAATTATAGTACAAATACTGTACACCGTTTGTTGTGCCATGTTACAGTGTTTTAGTTTGATGTTTCGACATACAGCTGATAATTTATTCTCTGCTAGTGTATCCGCAATTTTCTTTAAAAATATTGCTTGCTCTTGTCCACATTTGGTATTAGTTGTGTTGTACACACACTTGAGAAATCCGTGTTTTGCGCTGTAAAAAGTTGAAATTAAATAGAAATTATAATGTTTAATAATATAATCGAAGATAACAATATATTTACTGTATTTAAACAACTTATATTGGTTATACGCATTCAAATCAAACGAACACTTCTATATTTTTATATATTATAACCTTTGTCCTTTTGACCCTAAAAGTTATGGAGGTAGCCGCTTTTCCTCATCAATTCGCGGCAAAAATGTCTTAAGATATATATAATAATAATATTTTTTGGAATCATCTAAATGTACCTACTGCACGTTTGTACGCAATCAATCCCTCAAATACCTACTTTATAATGAACAAAGTTGATTGGATTTAGATCCTTACTCTAAAGAAAATAATATGACGCACTATTTAATACTATTTAAAACCTATATTTAAGTTAAAAGTAGAGTCGTAATATATTACTGCAGCGTGAGATATATTTTAATACGAATACCAATCAGTAAAGCTATATAGGTCCGTTTCATTTGATTTTCGTTGTCTGTTGATGTAGGTAACAAGGTTGAAGATATAGACGTATAAGTTATATATAATACATGTATGTAATTTTGTAAATTACAAATTCATAATCATAGTTATATTTTCATTTTGTGTCGGCCTTTAGTTAAAAATTAATTTTCTTCTCAAAAAAGCATCGATTTGTAATGCCTTATCTGAAACATTGCGATCGTAACCATAGCATTTTCTTTGCTACACCGACATTGAATCGGTAGTAGTGGACATTTAAAATATATGTAGTAAATAAATATATAAATAAAAAAATGTATATACATAAAATTAAAAAAATAAATAAATGAATAAATACGTAGCCTGGAGTATTATGATAAGTGTTATGATCTGTGAGCATTTGGGTTAAGTGGTATGTGACCTGAAATCCAGTGCATCAAAAACCTAACCTATTCTATAAAAAAAAAAAAATTTATTGAAAAATGTTTTACAGGCTAACATACCATTTTCATTCTGAACCGTTTTTTATCGTATAAAATGATTTACATACGTCATTAATATGTAAAATCAAATCAGGCATTTTTTTTCGAGCCGGTGTTATAGATAATATAAAAGTCGTTATTTTTGGCGTGAATTTTCAATTTCTTAAAAACTAAAAATTAAAAATATACAATAATTTAAAAAAAAATGTGTTAAAATAAAATATTAGAATATAGTTCTATATAACAACATGATTATTGTGTACTAATTGTCTGCAAAAAAAAAAAAATCGAAAAATATTAATTTTAACTATGATTTTTGATTTTTTGGGGAAAGGAGTTTCGAGCAAAACTTGGGGTACGAATTATTGCAAATTACGTGCTAAATATTTGCATAATTTGTTTTCAAGTTCTCCATTAGGAAGGGGGGTGGGGGTGGGGAGCTGGCCAAACATACGTAAACTTAAATTGCTATACCGAATGCTAGACATACAGAGAAAACTTAGAAAGAGACGTCTCCAATGGACTGGTCATACATAATGGAAAAAAGAAAAACGTTGATAAGAATAATCCAAGATAACGTGCCAAAGGGAAATAGACTCTTGGGGCGTCCAAAGATGGAAAAGTAAGGAGTGATTTTATAGACTAATGTAAACATGAGTAGAATTGGCATGAATCTGCAATGAATTGAAAAGAGTGAAAAGCAATATGATGGTCAGTATGATCTTAAGATTATCGTATATATGAAGAAGAATAGGTATATAAGAATACTCACTTATTATTTATACCACATACCCTCATAAAAAAATCTACAGTTTCCGCTCCATTTGAGATAATAGTGAGTTAACAGCAAAAATACTGTAGTTATAATATAATGATGATTGTAGTGGTAGATGTTTGTAATAATCGCTTTACTCAGAATCGTCTAGCGATGATGAGTACCTATTGTACCTATACGGGATAATAATTTTTTTATAGTAGTGGTTTACTTTTAAAAGTGAATGCAGGAAACTATTTTATTAATATTACATTTTGCACGTATATGGGTAAGGGTAAAAAGTTTTCTTCTAAGGAAGTCAAAATGTTTTATAGATGTAAGTACCCACCTACTTGAAAGTTTTTTTTTTTAGAAAAAGGTAACTAATAACAAACAATGCGTTCAATTTTTTTAGAAAATCAATTTATAGAAAAGAAAAACCAAATATTATTTATTTATATCATATTT